GGGTTCCTGCTGCCTTCCCTCACAAGAATAGAACAAATTAGTGTGACTGGGGACACAGAGGAGCCCGACGCAAGAAGGAAATTAATTATTAAAAGTATCTAAGGGGCAGCACAATGGCGCAGTGGTTAGGATTGCTGCCTCACAGCACTGGGGCCCTGGGTTCAATTCCAGACCTGGGGCGCTATCTGGGTGGAGTCTGCATGTTCGCCACGTGTTCGCATTGGTTTTGTCTGGGTTCTCCGGTTGCCCTCCCAAAATCCAAAAACATAGTGGAATGTTAATTGGCTTTTGGGGAAAAATGGCCTTGTGTGCGAGTGTGTGCGTGTTTGTGTTTGTATGTGCTCTGCGATGGACTGTCGTCCCATCCAGAGTGTACCCTGCCGGGACAGGCTCCAGCTCCTCCCGTGAACCTGAACCGGAAAAAGTGGTAAGAAATAGATGGATGAATGAAAAGCATCTACTGGAAGGCACAGTGACACAGCTAAGACCAGCACAGCCAAAAGCAAATTATGTCAATCCTGGGAGTAATATGGGAAGTACAGAAGCTATGGCTTCTACTGTGTAGATAGAAGTCTTAACAATCTCGGAGGCTGAATCAGATACTGTATATCCAACAAATTTAATCTAATGTAGCCTTCAGCAGCCATGCTGAAGCAACTGCAAGAAAACTCAGAACAACCTTCAAAACTTATGGCATTCCGGCTTCTCAGCCTCATATGAAAGAATTCTGCTAAATACTTTTAAAGTGAACCGCAACTGTCTGTTCCTATCAGAAGGCACAGAAGAGCACTGCTCCTATGCTTACAATGACCAGCCATTAAATTCTTTTCCGGATTGCGTGCAATTTGAAAGTGGTGTCAGATTCCCGCATGCCTCGTGTTTGAGCCCCCTCCTTTTGTTGGGAAATGGAATTTTCTTTTTGTGGAATTCCTCGTATTTTTCACTTCATTCCGAATTTGACAAACTCCCAAGGCTCCTACTCATCCATCTGTGTCTTTCTTGTGGGAAAATCGCAATTCTCTCTGGCCAAGCAGCAGACAGAAGGTACCTTCTTAATTTGCCCATTTCAATCTTTCCTGACAGCACCTGCCCTATGTCTCCATAACTTCTTTGTCTGACTCCCAGACTATTAGAAGACATACCAGGCAGAAGATACAGTATGCTGCCCTTATTACTAGACATGCTTGGAGCAGGAAATGACAAACCGAGAACTTTTAAAAATAAGAAATTAAAAAGTCCACATTCCACACTGGATACCAGGAACAACAAATATACATACTGCACTTGTAGAGTGCCTTAAAAAGATAGTTACATGTGTGTAGTAAGAGAACTTGTAATGTTTTTCACAAGTTCAAAGGCTGTACTCTAGTTTCCCGATGAAGGGATATATCAGAGAGCATTGGATAAAAAAAACATCTCAGATCATCCAAAAAGTAAATAAATTTCCTTCTGGAAACTCATTGTACTCACTGTTACACTGTATCACACTTATTAAGAAGTCCTTGTTAGCCACAAAAATCCCTTGGGTCACAATGTTAGACATATGCAAAAGATCTACCTTGACTCCATGCAGGGGTTAACAACCACACTATTTATCCAGCCCACTCTTGTCTGGCGCTGATCCGTTAACCCTACAGGATGTGTGGCCAAGACCCCCACGCATACCAAACATTACATCCAATTACAGGAGAATGTCCCCTGTCCGAGAAGCCGGTAGAGAAAAGGCTCCTTTTCTTGCTTCACAAGTACTTCCACTCACAGTCAACCTCCCCTTCGTAAAACAACACTCTGACTGGAAGACAGCTGGTGCTTTCAAGGGTTTTTTTTAACACCTGAGGGTGTCATTGTCAAACCGATAATTGCCTCTTTACTAATCTCGCAACGCAGCACGAAGAAGTATAGAACAATTCAAAATGGCTACTGCTTGTTGGAACGCAGGAAGGCTTGCAAATGAGAGGAGGCCTTTCAGCCCATCTTACCCCTCAGTTAATTGATCCAAGGATGTCATCCTCCAGCCATTTCTTGAAAGAAACCAGAGTACCAATTTTCAAAAGCATAGCTGGGTGGCTTGTTCTGCACTCCCACAACTCTTTGTGTAAAGAAGTGCCTCCTGTTTTTGGTTATACACCACCCACCATTAGAACAGAATGCAGTATAGGGAGGTGGACCACAATCAGCCTTTTGTCCCCTCTTTCTGTCCTGCACAATGAAATGCACAAATTCTTCACTGTGAATATCATCCGTCGCCTTGTGTGGCACAGTAATAATGATTCTAACTTTAAGCAGAAAGTCCAGACACAACTATGTGTTTTGATACTTAAACTCTTATTAAAAACACATTTTAAGAAAGAAAGGAAAATAACAGGCAAAGAATGGAGTTAAAAAATGTTTTTTGTCATCCCCTGAAGTGGGCTCACATTTAGGAGCCACAGCCTGCTGCTTCCCCCCACCTTAGTGGACCCACTACACTTTCTGCTGGTGTCCTGCTGGGTGGCTCTTATCCTGCGAGCGAATGACCTCCTTCACGCTCACGAGCAAGTCTGAGAATGTGATCGCCGGGGGGTGGCTTGTTCTCCTCAGCACCCGAATTCAAGAAAAATAAATCAGCACTTCCCTGGAATGTGGCGAGCGAGTCCTGGAGCCAGGAGATCCCCCTCTTTTTCTTCCCTCCCCCTTCTCTCCGAAATAGAGACAGCAGTTTCAAATAAAAACACAATCTCCAGCCCCAGGCTGTACACTGTTACAGTATGTGCTCTAAAACGAATCCACTTGCAAACACTAGACTGTTGCCCTGAACAGGACAGGAATGACACAAGCACAGAATCATAATGTATCTAGAAACCATTTCGTCCATCATGCATAAAGCCAGATTCATGACTAAAGTAATATCGCTGACCAAGCTTGAGTAGCATGGATAGGATGAAGTGATCTGCACCAACACACCTCCTTCCTGGCTCATTGAAGGTTCTTACAGTGAATACCTAATAATTAAAGATTTAGCCAAGCTACGGTCTTACCACTGACTCAATCTATAGCCGATGAAGCAGAGGCTGAAATACAGTTTATTGGTGCCTAAAATACACATTTTCCGATACGGCGTCAATCTGATTTGCAAAATGCATGACGGAATTACTTCCATAGATGAGCTGATTCTCCCCTGTATGTAGCACTAACTCCCCAAAAATACCCTCCACTCGGACCTGAGCTAAATATCTTGTCTTCTACTCATGAAGTGTAAGTCCAGTACCCTAACACCAATTCTGTGGCTACAGTCCTTTAATTTAGTCATTCTTCGTTGGCCTACACACATATCCCTCTGCAGTGTAAACTTCCTAACGTCCCCTTTTGATCTGCTGAATAGCTGAACTGCTGTGATCACAGTGTTATTTAATGTTAATTAATATGGCATTGAAGGGCTGTGTTCTTTACCCCAGTATTAAACATGCAACCTGCCCAATTTACTACTCTTAAACTCCTGTGGGATTAGTAACAAAGACCAAATGCACCCTGTGGTGATACGCTGTACACAATCTTTGCTATTCATATTGAGCCTCAGCTGAAAATCAGCATTTATATCCCACATTAGGTTTCTGTAAATTGCAGAAAGCAAACTGCTCTAGTTACAATATAAAGGTTAAGAGGGGGAAAAATTGTATCTTGCTTGCATTGAGAAGATGTTAGAAACGTAGCACTGGTTATCAGGATCTACAGTAAAACTGGCAGAATGACACAAATAAGACACAGATGAGAGGAAAAACAGCCTAACCTGAGCTCAGCTCTGTCTAAAACATTTTTACAAAATCTCTAAAACCAACTATAATACAGAAGCAGCACTCTATCCATGGGCATCCGCAGGTATTTCTATAGAACAGGGAAAGGCACCGCTCCAGCTCATTCGCCAGCTGTTCCTTCCTGTTCCCGGTGACAACTGAAGCCCACTTCTATTTCACTTGGCTAAATACCGTAGTAACAACTTTTCTGTAGAACAGATTACAGAGCAGAGGCTTCTTGGGCATATACTGGTGGTAAAGTTAATATCATGAACCGCTACTCTTAAATACAGTAAATATTCACGGCTGTGCCGCAAGACGCTGTTTCCCAAATGTGACCGGCTCCGAAACCGTTGAGAAAGAAGCATCCCGTGGGGCAGATTTCCGCCTCCAATTATCCCAAAAGTAACGACAACATCCATACTGTAGCGCCACTTAGAAAAACCGTACGAAAAAGTTTCAACGCGAAACGATTTGAAGCACTCATTTACAAAAGGATTCTAGCCTGACGTTTAGTTCACACTTCGCGGTCTAGGCGAGTGAAACACGACATTACACATTTAACAAATGCTGCCAAGAACGAGTATCTTTAATATAGACAGTAATGAAACTTAATGATAACGTACCGTGGTTCAGTGGAGAATTAAGTAAGGATTATGTTGCCACTGTTAAACTGATAAATGCGGACTAATAATGAGGCTGCATGCGATTTGAAACAGATGACCTAGTTTGAAGGTTCAGATTAGACCACGAAAAAATACGGGGTACATTGTGGTTGTCACAGTTGTATCGCTTGTCAACGGATGGTAAGAAAAGCATTAATAAAACGGATCCTTCACTCTGACTGCCCAAAACTTTTCAAGAACAGATTGCGACAGGAAGCGAGCGGGACTGCAGTTTAAAATATCCGAACTCCTACAGCTGGCTCCTCGCATTACCCGTCCTCACCAAAAACTTTTTTTTAACAAAACATTCTGCAAGAAAAACGCACCAAGAGGTATTCAAGAAGACACACGCTATTTACAACAGCTAACAGTATGCGATCCACAGGAATATAACGCTCAATTTTTAACCCCCAAGCGGAGGATGCTGCAGAATAAGTGTAGAAAAAGCGCAAAGCATTGCAACAGGTTATGAAGTTGCAGCACACTGAAAGGAAAACAAGAAGAGAAAATGAAGAGAAAAAAAATTAATGATGTTTTTTTTTACTAAAAGCGGACTAGTATTTACCTTTGTAATGATTAGCGGCTCTCCGTGCTCCAGACCCCCTTTCAAAGTGAACCCCCAAGGAGCGCCACCGTTCAGCTGGACCTGAATGTGGTGGAAGGACACGAGCTGTTCGATCGTCTCCATTCTGGCTAAACTCGGGTTCCACACAGTCCTACCCACGCTCGCGTCCAAACTCTCAAGTCTCCATCACTGTTTCATTGTAGGCATCCAGGAGAGAGAGAGAGAGGGGAAAAAAACACTCCAACTCCACCAGAGGAAGTGATACTGCCCAATAGACTGATTGGCAGGGGGCAGGCCGACTGAAAGGGAACTGTAGTTTTGAAGCTCCAATGCAGAGTGCTGGAGGGGGAGGGAGTCTTGTCCGTAACGACTGCTCCCTGCCCTCTCTTCCCGGCCTAAAGCAATCAGTGTCCTTTGGGCGCAGCGGGCAGCGTCCGAGACAAACCACAGCTGAACATACAGAGAAAAGCCAAATCCTTTTAATGCTCCAAAACTTCCTACTAACTAAAACCTGATTTAAGGTTTACAGTTTGCAAGTAAGCTGTTCCGATCATTAAATATCCGCGAGTTGCTTATTGCACTGTCTCCAGCGTCTCCGCATAGTTACAGGTATACTTTCGTAAATGCCATTCTGATATTCTAGTTATTTTCCTTGAATTCTTTTCACAATGGCAAAAACAAGCCAGCGAATTTTGCGTTTTGTGGGAAGGCTGGTACAGTGACCGGTACCTTTTGTTGCCTATTCGGCGCTAGCGCGAACACAGCTGTTTTTTATTTGCGATGAACATGCAGTTTCTTTGCAATGAAGGTGCACGTTTCTAAACTAGAACGCAGTGCTACTGCATGGAAATAAAACGCCACAACTTCTTTGCAGCGAGGCTCGAATACAACAGAGAATATACTGTAAGAGTGTTCCTTAAAACTTGGCAACGTCTCGGTGTTTTAATTTTTAATGCAAAGGGCTAGTCTTTCATCTGCCATGGGGTTTTTTCATTCAAAAACAACCCTCGCCCATCGAAACCCTGGGACCATTGCAACATTATTTTTCAGTGTTTGGTTTTACACGGTAGAAGTGTAAAACACTGTTTACGTTCAATACGAAGAAATGATATGTCTTTCCATGACATTAAAATGTACGCTTTAAAGGGAATGAAAGACCATGTGGAAAATAAAAAACATTCTCCGTATAAGAGCTGTTGAACTAAAAGATTCAGAAAACACACTCCTGGCACTTATGTAAGACCCCAAAATAAAACAGTTGTTTTTCATTTTTGTGTTTTTCTGTCTGAGCTCTAAGGCCTCCGCACAGCTGTATACATCTTCCCCAAGCTGCGAGTGTCATGAGAGGAATCTGAAGCAGTTTTAGCTTAACTTGCTTTTTAACAACCAGTCACTTCGCGACCCATCTGCCAGTTTCTATCAAAGGCGCGGTTACCATCACGTGCTTCACATCTTGCTTATAGTTCTTATCGGGGGGCTTTGGAAACACATGGGAAAACCCTGCAGTTTAAGCCTCTTTAGCCTTTCATTTGGGGCAAATAGCGTGCACGCTAAAACAATCACAGCGGTTAAAGCTGGATGGAAACAGTTTTCTTCTTACAAATATACGCTCACTGGAGAGAATTTCTGAGTAATCAAATGAAGCATGATTCATAAAATGTGTGGTTACACGTGCCAAGAAGAGTTTAATTTTATTCCTTACAATTAGAAAGGATACTATGGGAGGGAGGATGTCATTAATTACTGGCATATTTAGGTCTGGGCATTGTTCTTACATGCATATTTTAAAATGTAGTGTGTTGCTGATTTCCTTTGTTTCTAGAAAAAAACACACTGGAGCATTCCTTTTTAAGCAGAGCGCAGATAATGGGAATCAGGTCTGTATGACAGACTAATTCAGCTCTTTTCCAAAGTTTTTATTCCTTGCATGCAAGTCTACTGTCTGCAGGGTCACGGACAGTTTTTTGATGTTTCATGATGTTGATGCAATGTTAAAGACGTGTGAAGCACTAGTTAGGTCTCCTTTAGAATATCGGTGCAGTTTTGGTCACCATACTACAAAAAAGATATTGTTGCTCTGGAATCAGTACAGAGAAAAGCAACCACTTACAGTACATTCCTTATCTTTAGTGGCTCAATGAAATCCTACACTGAAAGTGTGAAGGAACTCAACCTTCTAAGTCTTGAAGAGAGAAGACAAGGAGAGGACTTGATCTGAAAATTCAAAGTCATCAAAGAATTTGTGCTGAAAAAACACAACCCAGTAACCGTCATCAGACTGAACAGTGAAGCACGAACCCCAGGACACAAGTGACAGCTAGGAAAAGTGCTATTTTAACCAAGAGCAGGAAATTCTTCTTTATCTAAAGAGTTGTGGGAGCGTGGAACAAACTGCTTTAGCCATGTTGAGGTGATACCCTGGCTTCCTTTCAAAAACTATCTGAATGACATCCTTGAATAAACTAGCTACTAAGATGGTACACATTTTCTCCTCCCATCTGTATCCTTTCACATGTTCTTATGTCATAGTACATTGACAAATTAAAGCAGATTTGAATACAAAAGTCAGGCTTTTCCTCTTAAAGCATTATAAAGAATCGAGGAATCTCCCCCTTAGTGTCTTAAACCTGATATTGAATATTAATTATGTAACTAGCTTAGCACATCAGTCATAAAGGGGTCCAGATGGAGATTTTGTGAAGTCACTGTTTGCCTTTACATTGGTAATTGCTTTCAGGTGACTCATCATTTGCTCTGGCCTAGTTTGCACTCAATGTTGTCTACAGTGGTAAGTGAAATTAATCAATCCCCGCTAATCTGCACTGTCAACTCAGTGGTTCATTGCTAGGGGTTTGGGGAGGCCCTCATGGACTGCATTTTCCCCAGAAATAAACGTTTCACATTCCACCTACTGTAGCAGTGTCTAAAAGAAGCACAAGTATTCAGCTTTGTTTTAATCGTTCTGCTTTAATAACCTGTTGTTCTGATGAATACTTTATCCTTTGCTTCCCTTCTAAAAGTTTGTTGTGGTCTTCAGTAATGCAAGTAGAATCCATTGAGAATAAGGTAAAACAGCGACATCATGATAAACGCTTGGAAAACCTGAGTGGTGTACGGTAAAGTATGGTGATGGCAGAGGAATACAGCACAGCTAAACAGATGCATTGTGGAACCGTGGGAGAGCTGTAAAAAATGCTGTACAGATTAATCATATGAAGTTATTGTAGCTGGTAACTGATGCCGGACATAGGTTTCAATTTTAGGAGCCCCTGCTGAGATCAATGTCATGCTTTCTGATGGCCCTCAGATCACATGGGACAATCCAGCTCAGTTCTGTCGCTCTGAATGCATTTCCAGACTTTCACCTCAGCATGCCTGCTTGCTCCTAGTCATCTGCAATTGCAATGTAATGGCTTTATAAAATGGGTTGCTTTGGGCAATAATGAGTAGTTCCAGGACCTTAATTGTTTGAATTCTCCCTTCTCCTTCTCACTGCTGAACCAGTTATTGCCTGCCAGTAATAACTGTTGTGGCAGATACTGTAGCAATTACTTTACTTTAACCCCACCTTCAACAATCCTTCAGCACATTCATGTTTTGTTGTTTGTATGTTTCTAAAGGAAGGCTAGAAAAAGCTCAGGAGTGCGATCCTGCAAAAAGAGGCACTCCAAATCTTTTGGGAGGTCTTTGTATAATGCACAGTGATATCCTTACCCCCTGCTTTATCTAGCTTGTAGCACAAAAACATGTGTAGTGCCCATTGCTATGACATCGGGACATTACCCCTTTGAAACACTGCAATACTGCAGACTAAAAACAGGGACTTGCTTCTTGCCCAAACATAAATCACAGCTTGACACTAACACAGCTGCAGTTTATTGAAGGGGGGTGTCAGGTTTTAATTTTGTGCACTTACACTGTGTACCTTGTCAATGACTACATTTATTCTATATTTTTATGGCAAAATCCACCAAAAATTTAACTCAGGATGTGTTATGGCATGTAGGGAAAGTCTTAAAAATGCTGGCTATAAGCTAAAGTGAACAAGTAAATAAAACAGGATACAGTATATCAAAAACTACCACCATACAGCTAAACCCGGTCTTTCATGCATGCAAGGACATCACAATAATAATAATAATAATAATAATAATAAAAATAAACTTTATTTTATATAGCGCCTTTAAAGGTGGCTTCTCAAAGCGCTTGTGTAGTAGGAAAGTGTAACACAATCTTAATGGACACTCTTGAATCTCAGTTTCAGTTGGTTTTGCTTTTCCAACATAAGGGGATGGATGATCTTTTTTTAGAGAAAAGAAATGCAGTAAAATATGTTTTATACTGTAACTTTGACCTAACAGCTCTGTACAAAGATGGAAAGCTGTGGGGTCCTGAATGAGCAACAGGAAACAAAAATAAGAGCCTTAAAATGACATGCTGATTCTCCTCAATGGTCTTTACAAAAGGAAAATGTCTTTCACACAGATTTCCTGAACAGATAGCTCACCACTGGGTCAACACTGATGCTTAATACAACGTGAATGAGATGAAGACAAGGATGAGAATCCTGAGACTGGAGACAAACCACTGCCAAGGGACATGCCAGGCTCATACAGAACTGAAGCTCTCACGTGTTTTCTTTGTTCACAACCTCCCTGATAACTACCCACGTGGGTGGAGGAGATGAACCCATTTTAGGGATGACAGGGCCAGTAGAAAATACTCTACTATATGTACAAATACCGTACAAGCACATGTTTACTGGACACGTGCTAAATGCCTCAGAGCTATGGAATGGGTTTTTTTTTCTCTATTTTCTGAACACGTTTTACAGAATATTTTGATTGGCTGAGAGAAAGGGAGCAGCACACTGGAGCAGTGGTTAGCATTGCTGCCTTGTAGCAGCTGGGGCCCTGGATTCAATTCCTGGGCTTGTGGCTGTGTGGAGTTTGTTTGTTCTCCCTGTGTGTGCGTGGGTTTCCATCCACAGTCCAAAGACATACTGGTAGGTTAATTGACTTCTTGGAAAATTGGCCCTGGTGTGAGTACAAGCATCTCTATGTCTGTGCCCTGTGATGGACTGGCATCCCGTACAAGGTGCACCCTGCTTTGCACCTGTTGCATACCTGTATAGGCACCGTCTCTCCTGCAACTCCTGAAGTGAATGAAGAGGTTAGAAAATGGATGGATCGGAGAAGGAAGGAGCTGTGTAAGTTGTGGCTGTGCAATAATGTTTCAGAGCATTCCCTGTGTGAACCCCCTTTTTAAAAAAGAATCGCTGCCTACTCCTGGAAATGTCTCTTTGTAGGACATTTCACTTCTACAGTATATAGATGTTTTTATATTTCTTATTAGTATAACCATATAACTGTCTTTCGGATGAGACGTAAAACCAAGGTACTGACTCTCAGTGGTCATTAAAAATCCCCGGGCATTTTTCGACAAGAGTAAGGAGTTATCCCGGCGTCCAGGCCAAATGTCCCCCCTCAGTCTTTACCATGGCCTCCAAATTGTCCCCATGTATGACTGGCTTGCACTTGCCCTGCGATGGACTGGCGCCCTGTCCAGGGTGTACCCTGCCTTGCACTCGTTGCTTGCTGGGTAGGCTCCGGCTTCCCGCGACACTGTATGGTATAAAGCAGTTTGGCAAATGACAGAAGATGACATAACCATATAACAGTGCTTGCATATCTACTCTGTTTGCTTCTGAACTTCAGTTAAACTCCACTTTTCTACGTCATGGTTTGCTGAGGGGTCCCCCAGTTACAAGCGTTTTGAAATCCCACCTCTTGTGGGAGCCTCAAACTATTTTTCCCCTCACCTTGCTGAAGGAGACAACACATCAGAGCTACCCAAAGTACAGGCTAGGCATGGTGGGTGGCATGTATTAACCAGGCATGGGTCAGTCCCAGTTACCTGTAGGAACCTGCGAGATTACAACACGAGCCCACAGAAAGCATGCCATTGCAGAGGCCCAGAGTTAGGATCACTTTTAGGATTAACAGCCACTTTACCTGTCACCAGAAACAGACAAGCTGCCTGCAGAAACCCTGAGACTTAAGCCCTGGGAATGGAGAGATTAAGGACTGTAATTATAATAATACTAGTATTGGAATAAAAAAAACAAGTGGCTCCCTAATCTATCTGAAAAAGAACAATAGGATCTTCAGCAGGGGAATTTTCTGCTCAGAAGAATACTGCTCTGGCCTAGACCTACATAGGGGCTGACATATAATTACCGGTAATTGCAAGAATTCTCCAAAAGTTCAACTTCACTTCTGAAGATAGACAAAATGAATTAAACATGAACAAATATTCTAACTCCAGTCTTTGCTTGTGCAGGTGACAGAAGTAGCTTTCTTTTGCTCAAAAATAGCGTGCAAAAAAGTTCAGAAAGATATTCTATTGCTCATAATAATGCTCATCTAACCAAAACTGCCTAAGTCCCATGATAATCTAAAAGTAATATAATGGATCTGACTTGCCCAGACCAGATGAAAGGCTAATGAACCTCCCAATGACATGTGTGCCAAAGGCCAGTAGGTTTCAGCTGATCACCTTTGAGATAGAACTCATTGGACCTGATAGAGCTGAAAACATACTTGCTGAGAGTGGACCTGTAAGTAAGTCTCTTCATATTGCTGGAGATCATGATCCATCATAAGCTAATAGCTAAAGTAGTTAATGTTACAAAGGTTTTTGTATCACAGAGACAAAAGCTCTCTGCCTCTTACAGTGCCAATTCTAGAAGTGTCCCAGGCTGCCACACTGCTTTTTTTCTGTTAAGATTGATATTTTAGAAAATGTTGAACAACATAATCTCACTTAATTGTAGCTGTATATTTCTGGCTATTAAACAAGTAAATTACTTTCCTTCAGCATTAAATAAGACAGTGTAATTGTATAAGTACACTACAATATTGCTTAAAAGGATGTGTTCATCAAAGCACATCAGGAGTACAAGTAAAAATATAATCTGAGTGTTTTACGGACAGTACTAGTTTATTAATTAAAAGAGAGCTGTTTGAGAAAGTTGGAGATTCAGAGAGGAAATATGACATGCACACAGCACAGCCAGATAATTTGTGATCACTAGTCCAAGACTAAAGGCTAAAAGCATGAAAACATATAACCTTTCCTATTGTTCATGACTATTCCTTTATTTAGTCCTGCCAAATAGCTGTATTGCCTAGGTCAATATTTGGAGCTGTCTTTTCTTATCCTTTCTTTTAATCAGTGGCATGAATAGGTACTTTTCTCCTGCTATCCAAATGCTGCCGGATGTTACAATGAACATTTTATCTTGTTCCACGATGGGAGTACAGAGCCAGAAAAAGGGCACTATCGAAGCTCCCAAAGATAGAGAAGAAAAAATGGTCAAGGCTGAAAGATAAACTCCTTTAAATAGATTCATGCAGGAAGCATGTTTTACACACAACAGCCAAAAAGCAAACAGTATTGTCAGGTGTTTGCCACACTTCAGTTTGAGAAATCAACTCCACTGCTATCTTATATAAAGAAATCAGGAAGTGGTTCTCATTAAAATTTTCTAATTATCTCTACTCATGACAAGGAAAAGCAAACCTTTACTGGTGGTGTTGTAGTAATTTTAAAGTGTTGATCTCCTCCAGTCTGTGTAAAATTAGCATTTTATCAAGCGAGTTGGATATTTTTCAGAGTGTTTGCGGGGTGGGAAGTGTTTTGTTTGTTTGAAAGCATGGGAAATTGAAGTTCATTTGTAAATGGTATAAGAATAAGGACGAAATGAATGTAAAACATTTTAGAATGCTTAAATAATATGTATATTTATTTTGTACATGTTAACTGTGTAATGTAATGTTTTTACAAAGTGTAATTTTGTGGAGACAATCCATAAAAATAACCTTATTTAAATAAGGTATTTAATGTCATTTAAAAATGCAATGAGGGATGTCAGTAAAACTGAAATAGCGTCGATTTTAAATAGAGTAATTGTATAGTGTGATTAAACAATTCACCAGTAATAACTAATTCAGCATATCATGTACTGTACAATTCTGCTTACTATTTTACAAAACTTTTGCCTGTACCTAAAACTACAATTGAGCTATATAACCATCTGATGGCTATCATCAAGATATTGACCAGGTCAAATACTTGGAAAAAAAAAACACGTTAAAACTAAAAATTCAGACATAAACAATACTCATGCCCCTAAAATATGAAAAATATTTATCAAACATAACTGAAACAATCATAGCATTTTACTTGGATAATATAAATGTTCAAATAAGACAACTATAAAACCTAATTGTTGAAGCTTGCTGAAGACTGTGAACAGGGTTTGAAGTCTAAAATCATCAGCAAATGGGCGTGTAGAACTGTGTACGAGGTTGGGAATCAAATTCCTTTCCTTACCACCCTCTCCAGGCCCCTCCTGGCTCTTCAAATACTTGGATGTCTCTGATCAGATAACTGTCTCCTCCTCACAGACGGCCAGCAGAGATGGATAGGCGAGTTTTCTCCTGAACATAAAAGCAGTCTGAGAGCCCTCCAATTAATACCCACAGCTGGTCTAGGAAGAGTGTGCACCCAGTCACCTGCTGACACTCATGTGACAGACACAGACCTGACATCTCACTTCTACAAAGACTGAATGGTTAGCTGACTCAAGCTTGCAAACCGACCAAAAGTCTTTTTTAGTAATGATCTTCTGTGAATACAAAAGAGTAGTATCAGGGAACACACAAGACAGCATCCTCAGAACTTTTTAATCCGCTTGTTCCAAAATCTATAGACGGGTTCCTTTTCAGCTCCTGCCTTCCATGTTAGTCCTGCTAATGGTTCTGTCCACCTTCCAGACTTTCACGTTATTGATAAAGTTGTACAATGAAATGGAGTGCATACAAAAAACAAGAGACTAGGAGGGTATGCATTATCAGAATGTTTTGAACAAACCTTTATGTCCAGTCTGTGTAATACTATTTAAGTATGTACAACACATTCAATTACAACACAAAATATTTTCATCACTAAAATACAAAACCACATACAGTATCTTTCCAAACTGCTTTGAGTGGAAACAAGAAATGATAAATGCAATATTCTAATAAGATTTGAAAATATGTAACATATATAATATGAAATCTTACATTATAGAAAATGAATCTTTTTATAAATTGTTTGGTAAAGAAATTCAAACAAAATTTGATTTGTAGACAGATACTGTACAGAGTTTTAGTTCGCAAGGACCATATGCCCTGTACGGGTCTGCCCCCTACCGTCATCACATGAATTTACGGAAAGTTTTAAAAAGCAAGCATCTCTGGAGCTGTAAGTACAATGTACTAGAACTAGATTATTCAAATGGTTGTCCAGGGTCTAAAAGTAGAATGGGACAGAATCCCAAATGATGGTATCGTAACCTGAAACAAAGACATTACTAGTCTGTGATCAACCCGCTCATGACAATGTTAATTAGCATAAAATATTTATAATATTATTATTAATAATAATAATAATAACAACAATAATAATAATAATATATTTATGTAGCGCTTTTCTGGGTTAATGGGTACTACGCTCCAGCACCAGCACCAATGTGTAGCCTCCACATAGGAGATTTACCTAGATGAACACATCTGCGAAACATGTACTGTATAAAGGGAAAAATTAAACAAATGTCTTACACACGTACTGTACAGTATAAGGTTAATTGGGGTCAAAGTAGACGTTCAACGAGTTGAACGAATCAGTACGGACGTCTTTCTCCTAGGGAAACTTCCGTAGTTTTCTGTAGTTATGGAACGGTACTCAAAGAGACACAGTAGCCTAAATTATTTCTATTATTGTAAAAATATCTTGAAAGTAAAATAAACTGAATTTCACGAATTTACACATCTATCTCCAGAAGATATGAAAATGCATTCGAGATTTATACTTGACCGGTCATGTCAGTCACCTGACAGGGCACGTATGAGGTTAATTGGGGTCACAGTAAAAGCTTAACGAGTTGAATGAATCCCTCTAGAGATCGTCTTAATTATTGCCCGTATCACTGCCTTGTTTGCTTTGGATAATGGTAGCCTTCGACATCACATTCACGCACTAGAGGATCAAGATGAAGGCTACCGGCCATAGCAACTTGTTCCACGTTTTAACTTTAAGCGTTTTCCTGGAATCTTTAACTTTTACACAAGAACAGAAAGTGGGGGACAGCACCTCGATGTCTCCGCTTCAGCTCGTTTTATCAGAACAAAATCATGACAAGCCACATCAGCGTCACAGAACAATGACAACGGATCAAACTAACGACCAGAATTTGCAGTACATGCTTAATTTGTATTGGCAATCTACACATAGTAATGGCAGTAACAAGGAGCTCAGAGAGCTGGGCTCTAACACAGTGAGACTCGTCCGATCTTCCGCCAGCAACACGCAGCATGACTCCGCTTTTACAGGTGAGTTGACTTGTAACTGAACAGGTTTGCTACATAAGTGAAATCAACTAGATTAGATTAAAGTCATTTTGTTTGTAAAAGTGTAGAGACGCACCGCGTCTATTTAGTACTAGAAAGAGCTTCAATCGCATCTTTGAAGCCAAAAAAAGAGTGCCGTAAACTGCCAGCAATCGTTTTTTGTTTTCGTTAAATTCAATATTCAGGTAACTTCATAATGGTTTTTAAAAGTAAGTTTCCACAACTCATACATCACGGTAGTAAATCTTTTTTTATAATTTCATATTTCAGATGTTTTTTGTATGTATATGGAGGTACAATTTGCGGCCTGCAGGAACTTTATTCATGTCTGGCATGATCAAGTTTGTCCCGATAATTTGTGGAACAGGCACATCGTCCTCAGATTGGGTTCAGGTTTTGTCGTGATGGAGTACAGCTAGCATTAGAAATTAGTATAATATTTCACTCCAGTCAATATTTGTAGTGGTTTTCCAGTGTACACTGACTATATTTCAAATAGTGCAATATAATTGTATCACAGTTCAACAATCTAATGTTAAAATTAAAAGGTTTAATGCTAAAGTAGTGTGGAAAATAAGGATTTTGCGTCTGTAAATCTGTACAAGACCCTGGTATGTTAAACTTGCGATTCATATATGGACTTGACCTTATTCCACGTGAGTGTACAAGGTGCACAGTTTACAATGTAGGTTAAAAGTTAGAAGAGAACCAGAACTCACAAGACCAAAAAGGATATTGTGATTTTTGTTTTTAAAACAAAAATCACAATATCACCATTCCACTGTTGCAAACCTGTAAGATCAAAACCTATAGACAGACTGTCCCAGAAATCTCAGCTCTGGTTAGGGTAGACTGGGGACTGTAGAAATGATTCTGGAGAGCCACAATTTCTGGTTTTCATTCCAGCTAAGATCTACTGTAACTGGATCAATCTGGTGCTTAATTCAAATTATAAAGAGTTGTAGTTAATGTGACCTATAAAAACTATAGGACTATCACTCTCCAGGATTGCATGTTTATGTTTTCTATGTGTGTTAGGTTTGGTATCTCATCATCTGTCCTAGCACTAGCAGTCTCAGTAAAGCAGTTTAATCCAGTCTTCCAGCTAATTCCAGTCTTCATTGTCCCTCTGTGCTTTCCTCACCCAGTTCCCTGGAATGCCCACACGGTGGAGTACGAGCTCAAGATCCTCCCTAGGGAAAAGCTGGTAAAGGCAGCTTTAGTCCACTCGAGAGGCCTGTCTCCACGCAAATGGCCCGTCAGCTGTGAGGTCACGGTCACCTCCCTGGGATCGTCAGGCGAGGCCACCTGGGGAGGCAGAGTCGTCTTCAAAGCTGAGGACCAGTGGACGCAGATGGACATTACTCGGCACATCTCTCGGCACGCAGGGCAGCACTTGTCCTTTGACATCCGGTACAGGTGTACTGAAGGAGGCTGGTTGAGGAGGAGGAGGAGGACAAGCGGTCTGCCCTCCAGAACAACTCAGCTGAGAGCTCCTGCTCTGCTCCTGTACCTAGATGATGAGGGGGCGGCCCACTGGGAGAGCCTTCCTGGACTCCACAGGGAGCCTGTTCCTCTCAGGCGCTCCAGACGGGCAAGACACGTGGGCAGCATCGGCTCGGACATCCCCAACTACCAGCAGAAGAGCACTGCGTCCAAAAACCTCTGCAAGCTCCACTCCTACAGAGTCACCTTTCAAGAACTCGGATGGGAGCACTGGATTATTGCTCCCCACAAATACAACCCCCGATATTGCAAGGGTGATTGTCCGCGGGTCCTTCATTATGGCTATAACTCGCCCAACCATGCCATTGTGCAGAATTTCATCCATGAGCTGGCCAACAGCGAGGTGCCGCCACCTGCCTGTGTGCCCTACAAGTACAAGCCCATCAGTGTCCTGATGATGGAGAAGAACGGCAGTATCGTCTACAAGGAGTACAAGGACATGATCGCTGAGTCCTGCACCTGCAGATAAAGAGGAGCCACTTAGGAGGCAATCTCTACACTTCGAGAGCGAAAGCACCCCACTATTTTTATATCTTGAACTCCTTGCGTTCTGAAATCTACCCTGCGCTCGAGTTGCTCAGGTAGTTGCAGGGATGCAGTGTCTGCCAGCATGCTTCAGGCTAATGTGCGGTTCGTCAGGGGCCTTTGACAAAGCTGTCGGTGTTGGTTTTAAAGTCACTAGGATGTCTTAAGTGGAACCCTTCTCCCCATCCTTTTGAAATACTTAGTTAGCAATTGTCACTTGTCAATGGGTGATCCCAGAACTCTCTGAGGACCATTTCTGAGGAGTTCTTGCTGAGGTTAACGGTGCCAGTCTGTCCTGATGATGGGCAAAGTTCAGGTCGTATTAAAAGAAGCATCACCAGGATGATTCCATGGAGCTTTAGCGTTGCCGTTTTTAGGTGTGCGTCTCAAAGTAGTTTCAAACCCTGGAAGAAAGGGACATGGGAGGGTTACAGTTGCTCTGAACTCATGCACAATGTTGACACTTGGGTTTGAATAAAGTGCAAACTGCACATTGGCTGCTGCAGTCGTGAGTGACAAGCCTTTTTTTTATGAAAACATTTCTTAACTTTTAAAGGATTTCAAAGGTGAAGGGAGATGAAGAGCTTAGCGGAATCTGAAAGAGTCCTTTACTTAATTGTTCTGGTAAAGGGATGACCTTGCAAAGTGGTTTGGCTGTTCCAGAATGGCAGCAGGGTGTAATCTCCCAACTAACTAACTTTGGGGGAATATGTGCAATATGTCAAGAGGAACAATATTCACAGCTGTTTTTTGTGGCCAAGACCACTTCTTACACAATGTATATTTTATGATCTATGTGAGGCAAATGCAGAAGAAATTAAATAAAATGCGTTTTCTAAAATCATTGTGAAATGTCTTTTGAGTCTTGGTGTGTATTAGTGTGAATCTGCAAAGGGGAAGAATTGGATGTTGGCCTTACGGCACTGTTCACCGATTTAGTGTTGCCCGACTTCATCAACGTTTTCAAAGTCCTTTTCCTTCCAACATTTTATATAGCATTTTTCTATGCTATAATGTAACTTCACTCTAATAGTAGCAGGTATAACCTGCTCACTACCTTTCTCTGTTCTCTGTTCTCCATCACCAGTGGGAAGTTCTTCCCTCGGCTTCAAGTGATCCCTGAGGAAACCGGCGAGCTCTGAATTTCTTATGTTGCAAAGTGGTCGCAGTTCATCTGTGAAGAAACCAGAGTTTCTTGACAAATCCTGCCAGTGCCTTACTGTAAAGTTCTTTTGTGTCTTGTGAACGCTTTTACGGTAATCCCTGTATTGTATAAGAGGGAGCCTATACTTTGCTCTTTGCTGGAGCTGCACCCATATAAAACTTAACATATCGGTGTTCCCTGATGCAATGGCCCAAGCTTGGTGTTTTGTGCACTTTGGAGATAAAAAATAAAATATCCCATGCTTTGCTTTGTAGTTATGGACCCAGTATTTTTTTTTTATTTGGCTTTGGGCATAACCTAAAAATAACCTTTTTGTCTTCCTCTCCCATCCATCATCTGGAAGCAGTTTTTCCTGTAAAAGCTCCGGGCAATATGGAGCCTGCCCCAATGTGTTCAGAGCAAGGCAGGATCAAGGGCAGATGAGAGATAGGAGGCTTATTGCGTGTCATAAAGAAAGGGACAAATCTTTGATGTCTTTGGGGCAGGGGGAGGAAAACTGACATGAACATGGGGAGAACATGCAAACTCCACAGATATGGTTCTCTAGAGTGAAGCTGAAACGGCAGCAGCACTAATCACACCACCTTGTGCCATCCAAGCCCCACTTCTCTTCACAAAAAAGTCAAAATCTTGCATTGCAAAGTTCAAACACTAGAGGCTGCCAAAGCAACACTCATAGTTCCCTTTGAAAAGTGAGTGTTAGACGTGTTAGAACTGACTGATGTGTTATTTTTGTTCAGTTTTCCAACCCTTTTTCAAATTGATTTGTGAGAATTTAGCAAGATGTACGGTACAGAGTGTGCTGTTCACAGTGGGTGAGATGTGAAGAGAGTGGTTTTTCATATCAGTCTATAACAGTGATCCTCTGTAGCAGGGGAAGCAGCTACTTCTGGGAAATGAATTCCAATAGATACTGTAATATCATTGTAAACAGAAAGGAAACAGCATTTCAATTATCAGTAGTAGATTATAATAGGGGTATTTTTCAACATAATGCCTTCCATACATGGGTACTAGACTTGATTTTATGGGATCATTGTAAAGCAGTAAGTATAATAAAGTGAATAAAAATTGGTCAGTGTTGGAACATGTGCAATACTCCTGTGTACACTCTGTAGACCTCACAGGTGATTTTAGCAGGCCAACTGGAGAAGAATGTGACATATGTGCTCAAATGGTAAAATGCATTAATAAGGCCTTGCTTGGGATATTGTGTATAATTGCAGTCAAAAAGTTTCAAAAACAAGATAGAGGTGTTGTGGACTCAGGCCTAAGAAGTCCTCTTCAGGTGCTGCAGTTTTACCGAGAGCTTGAAAGCCTCCGGGAGCAGGACTGCCCACCTCTGTTCTACATCTTTTTGAATCTCCTTTGCAGCTGGTGTAGTGTTTTCTCATTTTCTTGTTTTAATATGGTCTGCAAACATAATCCATCCATTCTTTTTCTAACCACTTCTTACAATTCAGGGTCAGGGGGGAGATGGAGCCTATATCAGCTATCAACAGACTCAAGACGGGGTACGCCCTGGACAGAATGCCAGTCCATTGCAGGGCAAACATGCACACACTCACACCTACTGTAGGGCCAATTTTCCCAGATGCCAGTTAACCTACCAGTATGTTTTTGGACCACAGGGCAACTGGCTGCTGGGGAGAGGCTGGTGACCCCCAAAGGAGACCTGAGCGAGGACTCAACCCAAGGAGCTGGACAACAAACTGAAGAACTTCAACTAGGTAGCCGTGCACCAGAGGCTGGTGACCAGAGACATCCTCCACAGACACTCACTTACCAGGAACCCGCACTGACCCCGGGACCCGTGTTTCGGTGAAGAGACACAGGAGCTGGAGCTGGCCCTTTGGCAAATCGATGTGGGCAGAATGGACACCGTGCAGCTCCTGGGAGTGGGAATGGTGCTCAGCTACCGGTTCATCCTGCTGCGGCTGGCACTGACTGGATTGGACAAAGGGATGCAGAACCTGCTGCGGCTGCTGGTGTCCCTCACGAAACAAGGACCAAGGAACGTGAGGAACACGCTCATCCAGCACAACACAGAGTGGAGGACGAGGGAGCTAGAGAAGAGGATCCTTGCAAAACCTCAGAGGAAGAATGAAGCGCAATACAGCCAGATGTGGCTTTTCCACAGCAAGGAGCACTGAAAAGGCCCTGTACAAGTGCTGAGGAAAGAGAAAACTAAAACCTGTCTCTTTGTGCTTCTGCGGTTTCAGAGCCAGGGACAGGTGTTTGGAGATATGCAATGGACAACCGCAAGAGGTAACACCCAGGAGTCTTGCAGGGACTTTGTTGCGCAAATCCAGTCTTCACCACCACTTGCCAAATAAAATGATTGAAAAGGGAATCATACTTTTTATGACCTTTTAATTTTGCAGAAATTTAGTGTTAGAATGGTGTTCTTTGTTATGGCTATGTACATTGTTGTAATTAAGTTTATTTTCTTAAAAAAGGCATTATGTGTGGGAGAGGAAACAGGAGCACCCAGAGGAAACCCACAGGAACATGGCAAGGACATTGAACCCAGGGCCCTAGTACTGCATGGCAGCAATGCAGCCCTCAAACGTAGATTACTAATACTAACTAACCCAATTGGGGAGGAGTGGTGGTTTTGTATTGAAAGGAGAAATGCACAGCCTTTTTCACAAGCTTGGTGCCCTGAAAAAGAATGTAGTCATCTACGTTTTGGTGTTTCAGTTCCCTTTCGGCTAACTTGCCTGCCCCCCAAAAAAATACAAGGAGCAGAGAGAGACATCTTAGTTTTTTGGATAAGGAGTGGGATGATGAGTGGTATGATCCCCTGGACTCTTTCATTGGTGATGTCCAGACTCCTTTTCAGTGCACTCCAGTGTACAGTACCATGTAGGTGTTTGAGACTTATGAATCTGTTGTGTTTGAATCTGGAAAGGGTTAAAAGACAGAAAATACCAAAACCCTTGACAAGAGTCATCTTCAAAGAGATGTTAATGCAGTAAAAGTTGTCATGTTTTTGTAAAACGTGATTCTAGGAACATGGTATACAGTGAGTACTGAAACGCATCCTTAAATTCTAAGGAGCTACAAATATGGCTTAATTCATAACTATCTTACTGTGTCATCTTGTATAACTTCAGAAAAAAGTGTCAAATCAAAGATGGTGAAGATTTAGGCCTATGATATAATGAGGTTAACTATGAACTTAAGTTCTGTGCTGAGCTATGCATTGTTTGGAATGGCATTACTGTGCATTCCTGTGGAGCAATATCCTGAGTGTCACAGACTGGCCATGATTCACAGAGATGAAGCAACGCGGTCTACAGAGGACATTTACATAACAGAACTCTGCCCTGGCCTGGCCTATACCAGAACTTTGACTCGGCTGAGATTTGAAGACCTGTCTTATGTTAAGGAAAAGATTCCAGAATTAAAAGCTCTGTGTTCTGTCTAAAAAGACTTAGGTTACATCTTTCTACTTTATTAATATCCACACTTCAATTAGTTTGATAGTTTTAATTCGAGGTCTTTGCAATCACATCTGGCCCCAGTCAGGAAACGGCATCGACTAGACTTGTCCCAGTAATATAAAGACAGCAAAAATCTAGCGTAGATTTAAAAAAAGAACTACTGTAGGTACTGTAAATTCTGTAAGTGGGATTGGTGGATCTGTGGGTGGTACTCTTCTCTCTGTACAGTAGCAGAATTTTCAAATCAGCATGGCAGTATGATGACTGAGGAAAGTGTGTTCTTCAGATGCGAAATCAAACCAGGCTCTTAAGTACTCTTAAAATACCAAAATAATTGGTTGTTAATCCGGGCGTCTTGGTTAAATTCTATTATGCTCAGTCTTCACTAAAGGTCCTCACATAGGTGGTAAAAGACTTTCTCACTTCCATGTCTTGATCTGCTGTGCAGTGGAGGTGCTGGGTGTCGACCAGGTAGTGCAGCACTTCTGTGGTGGATAAAGACTGCCCTCTCCTATATGTAAAGTGCTTTGGGATGGAAAGAGCTATGCTTGGATTTAATCAACACTTGGCAGACGCCTCTTATTTTTAATTTTGTGTACATCTGTTTGTCATCGTTTGTAATGGCTTCATTGCAACACCAGTAACTCTGAACTGGCATTTCCAGTGAACAGGTGTGATTGTGAGGAATTCCTACTTTCTCAGCATGCAATTACAAGAGTGCATCTCCAGTACTTCTTATTTGTATCTGATCAATTCTTCAATAGAATATTTATATGGAAAATTACTGTCCATGTACAAACAGACATAAAACTGAAGTTCTTCAGACAACTGTATGTAATTGAATGTGTACAGGAGGAAGAAAACGATGCAGTGGTCAGGTCCCAACTATTCTGACAAGAGTTTAAGTTAAATGTAAATCTTTTTCTGTGGGTCTCTGTCCCAACTGCTTATTTTTATATTTTACACTCTAAGAGGGATTATGTTCTTTATTTATTCCCTACACCCCAATTTAACTTTATTTTTGCCAAAATAGCTGAAGTCAGTGCAGGGCTAATAAAAATCCATATCTGTAATATGAGTCACAAACTTTAGACAAAAAAAACATGGCCTCTTGGTTTAGAGAATTAAAGATTTGAAGGCTCCCTTAAGACTTGTTCCAAACCTCAAAATTATTTTGCCCTGGTCTTGTACATGTGGCTTAAAATCAAGGCCAAAGGGATGTTGCTTTCTTTGCAGAAAACAGGTTTAGTTGATCTTACAGTACCCTGCAGTATCTGGGGCCAATCGCAACACCACAACTGACATCAATAAGGAGATGCACTCAAAAGAGCCAGAGAAGTTTTGTTTGATAAATCAGATTAGTCTCCATTCAACATACCTTGCAAAAATGTTTACATGTGCAGAAATGTGCTCCCAGCATTAGGGTCCAGGATTCAGTCCCTGGGGTGCTAATATGTGTGGAGTTTGTATGTTCTGCCTGTGTATGTGTGGGTTTCCTCTGGGTGATTCAGTTTCCTCCCACAGTCCAAAGACACATCGGTAGGTTAGATGATATCTGAGAAACTTTGCCCTTGTGTGAGTGTGTGCCTGTCTGTGTCTTTGTCTGTCTGTGCTCTTCGAAGGACTAGTGTCCTACCCAGGGTGTATTATGCCTTGCACCCATTGTGTGTTGGGATAGACTCAGTCTCCTCCACAACTCTCTACTGGATAATATGGTTAGAAAATGGATGGATATATGGAATGCAACGTAACATGCATTTCTCTCATTTGCACCAAATCTGCATCACTGTGAAAGTCCAGTTCTGCTCCTTAAAAAGAATAATTATAAATCCTGGGAAGAAATTTATGTCTGTGCATCTTCATATCTACAGAAAATATGATTAGCTTTTTTTAAGGATTCACAGCCGGGATTTCCTATATTTTATTCTCCTTCACCTCAATAACCTCTAGAATGGTGATGGTTATGAGGAGCCCTGATATCTTTCATTGTGCACTTGTTAGGAGCCAAGTTTTTTTCTCCTGGTGTCATACTGCAGGTATGACTCAGGACAATGTATTCTAACCATGACTCTCCACAGTTCTGGAATCTGGACTGCATTTCATGACAAGTTGCCAAGAAAACAAACAGGAAAGTACAAGCAAAGTTCATTGTTAGCCCCCTGGTGATGGGAAAGATCTCGGGTGTAATAAATCACAAACTACAACAAGAAATGTTGAAGCTCTTGTTGCAGTTTGCTAAAGAAAACTGCAGTACTAAGAGACCCCTATAGCGTTTTCAAGGCACTCTAATAATTTCTCCTGCGATTTGTTTAATAAGAGGTTAGAAGAAAACTTTGTCGATACAGCCAAGGATATAATCCTTTATTGGCTTTACAAGGTCTTTTTAAAGATCACAGAAAATGTAGATACATTTTCAGAACTGCTGTTTAAAAAATCTAAAAATATATTACTTTGTTAATGCTAAAAATCCATGCATTTTCTACATGCTTCTTACAATTCTGGGTCATAGGGGAGCAAGAGTCTGTCCCAGTAACATGTGCAAGGCAGGGTACACTCAGGACAGGACGCCAGTCCATCACAGGGCACACACAGACACACTCTCACACCAGGACCAATTTTCCCAGAAGTTAATCTACCAGTTTGTTTTCGGACTGTGGGAGGAAACTGGAGCACCCAGAGGAAACCAATGCAAACAAAGACAGAACATAGAAACTCCACACAGATAGCATCCCAGGTCTTTTGAGGGAACCCAGGGCAAGGCAGCAAAGCTAACCAAAACAACACAATGCTATCTAAATGCTAAATATTTAGATTCTAATGTTTGTGTGCATTATATATCATATAAATGTACTGGGACAACAAAGTGGAGCAGTGGTTTGCATTGTGGCCTAGCAGCGCTGGGGACCCTGAGTTCAGACCCTGGGGAACTATCTGTGATGAGTTAGAATATTCTCCCTGTGATTGTGTGGGTTTCCTTCAGGTGATAATGTTTTCCTCCCACAGTCCTAAGACATACTGGTGGGTTAATTGGATTTTGGGAAAACTGGCCCTGGTTTGAGTGTGTGCGTCTTTGTCTGTTTGTGCCCTAAGATGGACTGGCATGCATCCAGTAAAGGCCTTGCACCTCTTGCTTGCCGGATTAGGCTTCAGCTCCCCAGTGACCCTGTATTGGATAAAACAGAACATGGATTACCAGATAACTGGTAATGCTTTCTAAAAAGTGTTCATTCATTGTGTGTGGTTCTTAGGTCAGGTCCTGCTTGTGAATGGCACACAGAATCTACCAGGAATCATAATTATGCCTCATTATGGATGTTGAGAGGGTCTCTGTGAACGTTGTACACACGTTTCCCGCAGAATATGCAATATTTTATAAGGTGGACATCCAGAACTGGTTTGAACTGGATTGGAAGAATGCTGGACACAAGGGCTACTATGTAATTCTATACCATTGTATAGGAATGTGTGCTACGAACCTCAGTAACCAATTGTATTAAAATAAGTTATTTTTAACAAATACTGTAGGGAGGTTGGAAGACGTGTGTGATTTTGGAACACTGCCAATCTTGTATGCATGATAGATAACAGAAAAATATATAAGGACTGTTCTACTTTAATTACTTGGTTAAAAAATACACAGAGCATCTCTGCGTGTTTCGCGCCCATGCGCATGAAATAAAAACTTATTTTAACTTCTGAGATGGACTCCTGACTGTCTTTTTAGGAGGAAGGAGAAACTAGCTGGTGTGCAAACTATTGAATTATTCTTCAAGTCAGTTCATTGACATCTTGAGGTTTCGGACTGAAATCCACCAATGAATCTTATAAGGCTAATTCCTGCCATCGTGCATTTTGTGCTGGTATGGTGTGAATCTGCAAAATACAATATTTATAAAAATATACTTTTTTTCTTGCTGGAATAGTTACTTAGAATGTTAAACTACAGGGCAGTAGGCAAAAAAAAAGCTTCCCTCTTTGGACATGCATATTTTAAAATAATATGGGGGGAAGCTCATTCAGGACATTGGTGAAATATTACCAGCCTGTCAATCACTTGCACAGATCTTTTATCTTTGCATTTTCGGATGGCTACAGTACACTGCAAGTTAACAGTTAACCCCGAAACAGGATAAAACGTTGGCTCTATCTTATCCAGTGCTGGCTCATATCAAATAGTCCCAAGCTTTTGGCTCATGCTGGGACTGATGGAACAGTTAATCAGTACAATTTTCAAATATTTAGCCAATGCCTGACGTCACTTTAGGTATAAAAAGCAGAGTGAGGAGCTGAGTGAGGGAGGTGCAAGAAAGGAAGAGATCTCTGCACTTTTCAGGAATTCAGGGGAGGAGTGCAGTTCAGAGCCTCTGTGTCAGTTACTCCCAAGAGCTCCACCCAAGACCACCATGCAGTCATTCATCTGCAGCAAGAAGGCAGTAGCCACATGGCTTGTGGTGTTCCTCCTCATTTACCAGGTAAAATATATTCAGGTTACTGTTTCCAGGATGGGCGGCACGGTGACACAGTGTTTATCAAAGTTGCCTTGCAGTGCTGGGGTCCTAGGTTCAATTCCAGACCTTGAGAGTTATCTGTGTGAAGTTTTATGTTCTCCCTGTATCCATGTGAGTTTTCTCCAGGTGCTCTGATTTCCTCCTACAGCCCAAAGACCTACCGGTAGGTTAATTGGATTCTGGGAAAAGTGGTCCTGGTGTAAATGTGTGCATGTTTGTGAGGGGCTGTGTGTCTACCCTGTGAGAGACTGGTGTCCCATCCAGGGTGTATCCTGCCTTGTGCCCTTTGCTTGCTGAGATACGCTCTGGCTCTCATGTGATCCAGAATTGGAAGTAAAAGTTAGAAAATGGATGGATGGAGTCACATCTTCAAGCTCTTATGGCAGATGTACAATAATTCCTATTCAAAAACAAAAAGATCAATGTTTTGTTATGTTTATGAAGTTTTGGGGATATGAGGTATTATAACCCTTTTCAGCAAAGCTCATGGAATTTATCAAATACCAAAGCATTTTGACACAATTCCATTTGCAATTCTCCAGGTCATGTCATGGCTACGCACATGAGAGTAAAAAATTCAATAGCTTGAAGGTTGAAAGTCTAAATGTGTTTGTGATTGACATTATTTACAGTGAATGAACAGATTCATAATTTAGATTCTTAAAGAAAACAGAAAAAAGGAATTGGATTATCATAAGAGAATCCTTTGACCTTACACCAACACTTAATTCATCAGGTGAATGTAGAGTTAATGTCTGATAAGCATTACAAAAGCACAGTTATCCCTGCCCTGGTGAACTATCATTAATTTATTGCCTGTTTTAAGGTATATGGCAGTTTATGAAATGCCTTTTTTTGACAATATCAAATTTTGAGAAATGTTAGCAGGTTTAAATTTAGTAGTAATCAATACATGAGTTTCTATTCCAATCAGTTGTCAAAATGTCATCATGTTTTTGCCTTTGTCTTTTGGGGAAGATATCTAGAATCCTGAGGAATACACATGGATACTGTTTAAGACATGCACTGTCCTGGATTGTCGAGCCATAATTAATACCCTACTGACAGACGAGTTTTTACATTAAAGGGCTTCAGCAAAATCATCAAAAGCTGAATAAAATATCAGTAACCACTGATATACGCTGCTACATTTAGACAGTCATTTGACAATTTTCCTATGGTTATACAAACCTAATACTTTACATTTCCATTGCTATCCACAGTTTCATATAATTAGTTATTAATTTATCTGAAACTGGAAACCAAAGATACTAATATTTGTACTTTTATGTTGTTGTACATTTTACTAATCCAAGTGAAGAACTTTTCTCATGGGTACAACAGCCCTGTCTCACTTGGAATTTGAATCAGCAGCCTTCTAGATGTCTAAAGCTCTAAACAACGCTACTGTATGTCTTCACCCTGCTTTATCACAGTAGACTCTTTAGAGGGGCTCTGTGGCCACTGAGTGATGTGAGACGTGCAGCTCTTTATGTCGGCCCTTTGTGATGAAGATTCGAGCCCCGATCCATACATTTCTATCCCAGGAGGCAATTCAAGGATTCATCACCGTGCGCGTGTCTTTTCCAGGTCTCCTCCAGCCCAGTTCCAGAGGGCCAGCCCTCCAGCACAGGCTTCAGCACCAAGACCCTGAGTAGGAAAGCCCGCATGACCCCCCTGTGGCGATCAATAGGTATCAAGCCTCATGGAGCCTACTGCAAAGACAGCTTTGAATGCACAACCAAGGTTTGCAGGTAACTACAGCCTTCCAGCTCAGATGCAATAATGGAAATGAATGCAGGAGCAGTAGAAACTATGAGTTCATTTGGCTGTCAAAATCACAGTTCTCATGACACTGTATGTTGACCCTTGTACTTTTTTGTGCTCTAACATAAAGATAAAGGCTTATACAGTATTTGACTCTCAGTGACACGTTGATTGTTTTTCTGTTGTGCTGAGGTATACATTTATGACCCCAGACATCAGATAAAGAAGCCGATTCCTAAATGCTTTTTTGCTGATCAGTCAATGTCCTGCCCAGTGCAGACCTCTTCACAGCCTTCTTATGAACGTGGAGAAGAGCTGAGAGTGATGAAACAATGAAAAACAATGAAAATAAGGAAAAGCAATATACAGTTGCTTCTCTATCTGATTAACCTTCTGCAAGAAAAATTAAACAATTGTATCGCCTCCTGTATAAGCTTCTGTTCCTTTTGTAACAGGTAGTCACATTTTACTTGCTACAACAATACTTACAGCATTAAAAATGGATTTGCTTTAGTAAGAACTAGTACAGTATTTAGGGCAGAACTGGAGGAATTACATTGTCATGCTGCATCATATTTAGGCATTGAAAATGTTCCGTTCTGAATTGGTATGATCCTGTCAGCAATATACAGGTTCACAGGTTTCTTTTCTTTCGTTTTTTCCTCAGAGAGGGGCACTGCTCGTCCTATCAGCACTTTCAATCCTAAGAGACTGTGTCATCATCCTCAGACACAGAAGTGCACTAACCCACCAAATTTCTTCACTACAGAAATACGACTGGAGCAGTTAGGGAGTGTAGAAAAACTTATCTTTTTTGTTTTAAATAATGCACCTTGTAAATTGGCAATGTAATGTATGTGATATTATAAATGTTTGCGGCAGTTTAGTTTAGGAAGTGAGACAGTCCTTACTGTGGACTGCAGTGTCTGGAAAACTGGGTTTGGTAATACCAATGTTTAAAGCTATTAAAAGGGTAAAGGCAAGTGGGATGTTTTTTAAAAACAAAATAACCTATACATGATCTATAGACTCTTTTTGAAAATGAGAAAATTTCTATAGAAAACATTAAGTTATTTTCTAGGAAGACTTTGGAATCAGAAATGTTACAATGTTGCCCCAGTTGTCAAAAAAGAGAATATCAGAATTTTGCACTAAGGACAATTAATTGTTCAAGTTTTTTCTCTGAGCAGTGAATGTAAATCTGCTGGTATTTTAATGTTACGTTTAAGTAACACTCAAATGTGCAAGACTATTCTCCATAGCATCATACTGTATATTGTTATTCCACTAAAGACTGTATTTCTGCTGGAAAATTCAATATATTGCTGTGATGCAGTGTTTCCAGCTAAAATCTTCAGATCCTGCAACAGAATGGCACTAAGAACACAGTGCTCATGACTTTAAAAAAAGCTCATACAGTACATGTAATAAATACAAAGACTAAAAACTCTCCCTGTAGCTCAAGTGTTAAAGAAAGTTCTGGATATAACCATGCTCATTTCATTTAATTCCTCTTTTTTTTTTAAATGGAACCATATTTACAATGTTTTTTTTAAGAAAGAGAACATAAGCTATCAATTAAAAAAGTAAATCACACATCTCTTTTGGCATTGATGGGGTTGAGAGTTGAGAAGAATTGTTTAGTTCTGAAATTCCTTAAGTTCACAAAAGTTCACAGAGAGTGGGATTCTCGAATTTTATGGGAATTACAGAGAAATGCATGTATTAAACTTGTGGACACCATTATATTTGTTAATTACTCACATAGCAATGCTGTACGTGATATGTCAAAGTACTGCAGCCTTTTTCTAGTTATTAAGCTGGTTGTGTACTCCTATGCTTATTAATAACTCATTTTTTAAATGGGAAAGTCATGCGATTTTTTTGTTACTCAAAACCTTTTCAAATGTACCACCTCCCACAAAATGCAGTGAAACATTTTTGAGGAAAGATTTTTAAAAGTGTTCTTCCCCAAGGTGTGTACTAATGTAAATCATTAAAAAAAAAAACGTCAGCTCCAATTCTGCTCTCACAGAGCCAAGCTGATGTTTAATCGTTTTATTTATTTTAACAATTCAAGTTTTCATATTGACATGTTGTACGTGAATTTCCAAATACAAACATGAACTTATATGTGAGGTCTATTTATTGTGTAAGCAGCCTATGTAGACAGTGTCTTTTGTCTTTATCTTCATTCAGCATGACTTTCCTCCAGGGGCTTAACTGAGGGGACAAATTTGTCATTTTGGATGCTGAGTGTAGGATGCCTTTGATTGGCAAAAGGAGAAGGAATGTCATGGAGTCCAGTAATTATTTATGTGCACATGGGTGTAATGTGAAACACTTCGTTAGGCTCGCAAAATAACGTACTGTAAAAGAATAGAAAATTCATAGTACTGTGACTTCTGACTTTAATGTTTTGTATTTCCTTTTTTTGTTTTGACAAGAGACTGTAAAATGCAGAGAGTGTCATTTTACTAATAAAAAAGCCTTAACCAAAACGTTTGAAGACTTCTTATTTCAGCCCTGATGTTGGCCAAATCATTTTCTTTTCTGAATAAAAAGCAGAATTGCAATTTGACACCCTGCTGGTGCATTTGACACAATAAAAGAAAATCCATAAAATACTGAAAATCCAGTATTTGAATCCATAACCATAAATTTACAAGCCCAAATCCCTAAACATTATTTGCCATAACATGGTATATCACCATATATCCACCTAAATATTGAATACTTGTCTGGATCTAACAGACACTTGCTCTTCCTGAAAGCACCAAACTGCTCCATAGAATGTGACCTCTAGCACAATCATAACCATTTAGAGAACCTCTCAAGCTCGGTGAAGACAACAGGTGACAGCAGCAGAGTACCATCCTGTACATGTAACTGCAAGGACTGGAAAGAAGAGCTTTTCATTTCCTTTAATATTTGCTTGGCCCTTGAACAAATCACTACATCGAGGTTATGTGTTGGCAGTATAACAGAAATAACAGTAGATTAACTTCTATGCAGTTACAGTATTATGCTACAGCAACTGTGTAGAACAGCAATAAAACATTGTGCACACAGAACTCTGGGAGAGGGACGGGTGGCACTTTTAAGATTGGAGAAAGTGTCTGAGGGGAGCGCCTACAATAGCTGGAATACCAAGGGCAAGAGGCCGGGGACATGGGCAGGGCTTTGATGATGCACACCTGGAGGAGTCCTAAGGGAATGAGACACTGTTTCTCCTAGCCCAGCCAAATGGTACCCATGATGCAATGTCCCAGGTATTCTTGAGAGAGTTTGACCTCCAGGGTTGACGAAATGGGAATCACAGCAGCGAAATGGTACTTCGTCACAGAACACAGAGCACAGGGCAAGCTCAGACCTGCTGCAGAGCTCTCACTCTCACCATATCTCAGACAGCAGCTCCCTCACACGCTAGGGAGGGAAGAGGGCGAGCAATGGACCGCATGGGAGACATAGGAAGCAATTTCATGAATGGCTGTTTTCAGACAGCAGCGGGACGTGAGAGATGGTATGCCACAGTTTAGGCATCCCTGTAGGCAGAAAGATGCAGAAATTGTACTTTTGAGATGCAACATACTGTACTTCTAATTAACTTTCAGTATGGCTCTGGTAATACCATTGGTTGTCCAAACTGAGCAAAACGATCGACAGAAGGTCTATTTTAGCAATTAATCCAGTCACCTTTGTTATGATGAGTTTTACAATCTTTTCCAGGAAAACGACTAATAATATATGTCAGGTTAGAGCAATTAAGCTGACTTCAGGCAGCAAAAAGCTCAGCGTAATTAAAATAATTAATACGATACCAAATAAATGCTTCAAAAGGTATATTTAAACTTTCACCATGTGAAATGCAATTTTATGTTCTAGATCTCAGTCATTGCAAAGTCATCTACCCAGGCTTCCAGAGTGAAAAAGCTGAAAAAGCTATAGTCACAGATGACCATCTTTTAGAGACTCAGCTGCTCTTCTGAACAGCAATGAAAACCCATGAGCAGGGTTGTGAGTCGTTTGTACCATCTGGTCCAGTTGCAACACAGAAACAGTGGACTCGCAGACCTTGAGACGAAAGTTCACGAGACTAAATAAACACAGAGGGTAAACACAGACGCCCTCCCTAGTGCTAGGTTGGCAAGTTCATACTCCCCACAAGACTAGCACCATGTTCTCCTATTTCCTAGCAATCTGGACACTCTGTGTGTGCTTCTGAAAGAGAACAGCCAGGGCCGACGTGTTGATCTCAGGGCTGTTTTCCAATCACCACGTTTGGCGTGTAACAGAGGAGCCTGATTGACATCTCATGTGGTATTAGTTGCAAATGAGCCTTTCTCTCGTCCTTCAGGGTAAACAAAGGAAGAACATTCAGGTCCTACAGTATACTAGAGTCAAGGCACTAACTGAGCAGACAGAGATCACCTTTGGCTGATGTTCTGATAGACGTACTACAGACAAACAGAGAAGTCAATAAGGCAGTCTGGGTCAGAACTCAGCTGACTGTATTAGTCTGAAATGAAATGACCTTTTTTTTCCTTTTTCCCAAGGCTGTTTGTCAGGAAGTGGACTGAACAGTTAATTTGAATAGTAAATTATAAAAGATATCCCATTGTTAATTTACTATATATTACTAATAAAAGCTTTCCTCCTCATGCTGGTGTCCAACTAGTTGCGGTGTCAGACATCTTACTCTCTTTCTCCCTGTGCTCTTCCACCCTTAGCTCTCGTGAAGCATTAAGGACTCCTGCTAGAACACAAAAAACATTGTTTTAACCTGCTAGATTTTGGGGGTATCACCTGGAGCCAAAATTGTGTCACCATTCATTTAGGTGAAGCAAATGGGCCAGACTGGAGACAGGATGCTTGAGGGTGCTTTACTCCTGTTCACTGACAAGAATCACAAGAAGCAATTCACTACCCGTTCCTACACCAGGTCCGTGTCAGGCTAACTAACGTCTCTCAGTGCCGATCACATTTGGATCACTTTTCTGGGTTAGATCATCTTGGAACCCCAGTCTCTACCATTAAAATCTAGTTTGGTCTTACCTCACCCATATCCGAATCAACCCCATCAACCATAAACGCACGCAAGAGCTTTGTCTTGAAGAACTTTGTGTTAGGCCTCTCTTCTAATGGCCATGTTGCCATTTCCTCAGCTAGCCACCAAACAAACTTTCAATACATAACCCTAATAACAATCATTGCATTAAGTAGGGTTTGATCGACCTACTAAAATAGAGTATATGTTACCATATTCCATCCATTTTGCAGAAAATGTGGTAGCAGAACTATCCAGTTTGCCTTTCTTTTCAATACACCACCATTGGTAAATACACCACGATTCAGCATGATGTGTGTAAGGGCTTAATCACATGCTGCCTTCATTTATTGAAATGAACTATATCAGATGTGAAGCATTTTGACATATCCTGCTGCTGGCAGATTCAGAACATCATTGCTGTGTTTTTTAGGCAAATTATTCACTCTGAAACAGCAGGGATTGCAAAGCTAAAGGACAAGTCATTTTGGGTTAACTGCAACAAACTGAAAGCAGCCTACTAACTGGGGATGAACCTGTGGTTAGTATGGAGCTCTGTAATAAATCCACAAGCTTGCTGCAATTAACTCTTTGAGACCTGGAAAGATTTTTTTATATATAAGTAGAGCAATTCAAATACTTGGTGAAAGGCCTGAAGGAAAACATTTTGTGTCTACAAAGTCTTTTCAGAATGAATTCGGTCAGCCCCTGTCAGTGTACTCCTCCGAATAACTGCATTTCTCAGGCAATGGTTGTGTTGTTTGTAAATAATGAAGAACGTTGTTTATGATTTTGCAAGACCGTTGTTTGAAAAATAACGTCGACTGCTGTTTATTATTGTGCCACAGTACTTCACTGACAGACTTTTCAATTCAGCTGCAGTTACTGCATAGAAGACATATAAACACCACATGCTTCATTCTCAATCTGAACAGCAGGCCTCACTGTGTATTTGTGGAGACTTGGGCATGCTAACATCAACCTTCACTCTGTTTTCGCTCTGTATTGAAAAACAAGAACCGATTGCCTTCAAGGAGAAAAACATATTTCATTGTAAATAATTTGCTCTAACCGGCGCCACATTTGCATTTCTTATTTGCTAATTTTAGCTGCGGTGATGCATTGTTTTCTTCTTATCTTAGTGCTGAAAGAGGATTAAGATATAAATGACCTTTTAAGAAATCTTGTCAGGAGCTTCAATATGTCTGATACGCGTTTCAGTTTTAACTCCATATTGGTTCTCTGTGTGGGCTCTATTTAGCTTTATGTTGCCTATACAGACAAATATATATACTTCATAAAATTTGTACAGTAGTTTATTTTTTGCAGGATTACTTCCATACATGAAACATTGTTATTTATTCTGGTAATGTCCATAGGATATAGGGCATAGCATTGAATCCTCTTTTTGGCCAGAAACCTGTGTACATCTTGATTTTCTGCTCCCACATAACTCTGAGAGTACTGAGACTAAGTGAGAATCCCCTCAGATTTATTTTGTCATGTGAAACCATCAATGTAGTCAAGGGAACAGACCATGACCATGAGTACTAAGCTTGGAAAAAAGCACTTCAGAAAAACGTATACAATAGGTTACTGATACTACAGTATATAAAGTACAGTGTTATCAGTACATAAACAGCTCTGAAGGGTTGTGAAAACAGATTGCTTGAGAAAAACAGTCACTTGCCTGTGGGGGGGAATAGGCACAAAAATCAAGATATTGTAGCTTGCATGAAGTTAAACCATGTATTGTAAAGAGGGACATGTCTTTCTCAGCAGGTATTTTGTCATTTGACATTTTTAACCCTAGAACTCCTCCTTTAAGTCTTACTAGTAACTTCTGAAAAACAACAGAAGGACACATTGGAAAAAGGACTAGTTGTAAGTGAATTTTAAGTAGTAACAAAGGCAGACTGAAAAATAAATCCAGGTGTCTAAAGAGAATCACAAAGGACTTGCTCCCAGGTTTTGCGGAAGGTGGTCTTGCCCACTACAAATCAAGTGTTGTCTGTGCAAAACCTTGTTGTTGGCGCCTCCTAGTGGAGAAGTTTGGGAAATCAATGTAACATTCATAATACTAGGGAAGGCTCCACGGCCGAAACGTTGTGTTCTCTTTCTTCTTTTTTTCAGCCTGGAATAAACCTATTACTTGTTCCTTTGCAGCCTACGCATGCTGACGCAGCTACCCACCAATCATAATACTATACCTTCAGAAACACAAGTATAGAAAGGAGAGGCTTTTATTTGACATACTGTATAATAGAAACCACTCAGACTTGTCGGGATTTGTGAGCATTTATCTGCGAGAGACAAACCAACTGCCTTGAAAGCGCAGCACTAAACACATGATAAAAAAACAGCAGTTTGCGGATTGAAATGAAACCTACTGTGTTGGTGCGCTGAACGCTATGGAAGCCCGTTTCCGCCAGGGAGTAAAAAAAACGCGCTATGGTATCTCAGAATTCCGACTTAGTATCTCAGAATTGCGACTTAGTAAGTCAGAATTCCGACTTAGTATCTCAGAATTGCGACTTAGTAAGTCAGAATTCCAACTTAGTATCTCAGAATTGCTACTTAGCAACTCTCACATTTGTAGCGCGTTTTTTTTTTTACTCCCTGGCGGAAACGGCTTCCATAGAAATAGCCATATTTCATTCTCTGTCCTTTTGTTATTGTAACGGATTCGGGTTCTAGGGATTGTGCCCTCGCCGCTCCCACCCTAGTTCGTGCCTCGCTGCACTGGCTCGAACCTGAGTCTTGCCAGCTGAGCTAAAGAAGACCTTCTTTTTTAAGTAAAAAAGGACATACAATGGAAATACGTAAAAAGTATGTTTCAGCTTTTAGAATTGTGAATTCTTCTGGATGTGAAGTGCCTATTTCTGTATCTTATTTCATATTCTGTCTACGTAAATAAAAACTATTTTTAAAAAGCCCACCGTGCACTATTCCATCCGGGTACTATGTAAGCCTCACTGGCGGAAATGGGATTCTATAAAAATTAGTGTAATTAATTTGATTTTTATCAGGGCACTGTACAGGATAAGTCTTCAGGCTTATAGATCCTATGATCCTGTACGATTCATGAAAATAGTGTAACGGAACGGCCGACAAACAGGTTGTACGATCTGGTTGCAGTACACCACCCTCCCCTGCGCATAACAGGGATGCTGGCCGCCGGGGTTAAAGAAAGTGTTCTTAAAGAAAGTGAGCCAGTGCAGCGAGGCACGAAATAGGGTGGGAGCGGCGAGGGCACAAGCCCTAGAACCCGAATCCGTTACAATAACAAAAGGACAGACAATGAAATATGGCTATTTCGAAGTCGCAAATGTGAGATATAAAGTCAGAATTCTGAGTTACTAAGACGGAATTCTGAGTTACTAAGACGGAATTCTGAGTTGCTAAGTCGCAATTCTGAGTTGCTAAGTCGCAATTCTGAGATACTAAGTCGGAATTCTGACTTATTAAGTCGGAATTCTGAGTTGCTAAGTTGCAATTCTGAGATACTAAGTCGGAATTCTGAGATACTAAGTCGCAATTCTGAGATACTAAGTCGGAATTCTGACTTACTAAGTCAGAATTCTGAGATACCATAGCGCATTTTTTTTTTTACTCCCTGGCGGAAACGGGCTTCCATACATATTTAACTCTATCCAGTGTAAAAGTATCTTCTGTTCCCTGTAGATATGCACCCTGATCTAAATACTTCTTGAAGTATTTCCTGATACAATAGGTCCTCTGGACCAGCATTATCTGGAATTCCTCATTAAAGTCCCCACAGAGCATTTTCTAACAAAATCAATTCACAACATCAATGTACAGTTAAAAAAGTAAAAGTCTTGCCTAAAAAATACATGTTTTATTTTACTTAAGACTTTCTGAAACTTGTGGGGGAGCCTCACTTATAGTTGCCCAAGTAGCTTTAACCGGATAATCTAAACCTGAGTTTGCCTTAGTGAAACCTGAACACAGTTATTGGGTTAAGTCTAATTGGATAATGTAAGAAAATCCTGAATTACAGTAGTTCAACCTGCTTCATGAAACAGCTCCATGATTCAGATTCAGGCCTGAACTCATCTGTTTTCCCTAATTTAATTCCATCTCATTCACTTATCTTACCTGTCGCCAATATTGCGATGTATTGACACAAGCGGAGATGGAAAACTTTTATTTAACATTGCTGGTGTGCCTCATATTCAGGGACATTTTGTTACTTACTCACTACAGGATGAAAGGTAGCATTTTTCAGATTTGTCATTGTGGGTGTAGGAAGTATTAATTTTAGGGTATATTAACGTGTGTAAATGTCAGAGTTCAGATATTTCTTAATATTGTTGAGGCTGCTCCCCTTTTAAACAAGCCTTACACTATACCAAGCCAATTAGATTTTAAGATCTTTGTTTCAAACGTTTTTATGGAGAACAATAATCACACTTAGCCACAGCAGCTCTTGCACTGACCACAGATTCCTGTATTTTTTCTGACTGGTCTCTCTAAGTTTCACACCTGTGGCCCAATGTCACAGACAAATGATAGTTGCTTTGTTATGGGTGCGTGTGTGTGTGTCCTTGATATGTACTGTTAGAATATTTTCTCCTGTGTTGTGGTCTTGTAATGGTCTTCAATTTATTGTTGCCCATTACAACATAACAATGGGTCTCGTTGGCAGGTGCACTTTTACAAAGATCAAAGATAACTGTTATTTTAATTTTGGGGTATTTATCCAGTCATCTAGTAAATAATAAAAAAGTATATTTGCAGATTTTTTAAAATATTTTGAATGATTTTTAATTGCATTAAAAATAATATTACTTTAAAAAATGACTCATTCCGTGTTCTGTACCTACATTCCGTGTTCTGTTCTGTTTCATGTCACTCCCTGTGTAGTGTCCAGTGAATTCCATGTGACCCATGAAGTATGACTTTTATACAATTTGAATTTGACCAAAACATTGAAGTCTGCATATGAATTGCATGCATAAATGGGCTGAATTGAAGAAACACAGATTCCTATGGAACCACTCAAGTTTAAATTGTTTATTTCAAATGAACAAAGGCACACCCATGGTGCTTCCAAACTGTGAAAACTAAAAACAAATTGCTGTTCTTCAACAGTAAAAACTCTGAGTCTGATTTAAGTTATATACTTGACTGGGAATTGTGTTTTTACAAACATTGCAGCACTGTACAATCAGTATAGACTTTTTTTCTCAAAACCACACCTATGAGTGTATACTTACTGCAGTAAATATGTTATTACTCCTGTATCCTAGAAAAATAAAAAGCAATTACAAAACTAACAATAATAATCTAAAAGCAATTTTAAGTGTACAGTTAAAAAGTGATTTACGATTAATCCATCAAATGTACATATACTCCACATAATACTTTTTTGTATTTATTGTGTCTTTTCTTTAGACAGAGGTTAAACTGTAAATAATTATACACAATCTAAGTACACAAATAAAGTAAAAATGTATAGCCATGGCTAGTAGCCAAAGAAAATGCTCAGTGAATACACATAGTGGTTAAATCAGCAAACCCCAAAAGTTTTCAACCACAGAGGAGACATCAGGGGCAAAGCTACAGGATCTGGCTCTACAGTAGATTTTGAAGGTGTGCAAGCCTACGCCAAGTCAGTGTTTCAAAAAAGGAGTAATGAATACCTACAATTGTTTCAGGATTTCAAATATAAAAATAAAGGAACTCTGTCCTAAAATACATTTCTGATAACAAATCTATTAGGTTTTTACTTTTTTTCTTAGTGTCAATATTATTTATTGATGTCCTGCTACTACTGGTCATTAATGTCTTCAGAGATCAAACACAAGTTCACAAGTAGCAGGATTACATTTACTGTAATGGGTATCAGGGAGTTAGAATTCCATTCTTTAGTTCTTCTTTTTCCACTACTTTTTTGGAAAGTGAACTGTTTGCAACCATGTACACATTTTATTAACCTACCTAGTACATGTGGAGTTTAACTGGTCTTGTAGGTCTGCAAAATCCTTAGATATGTTGCCTAATTTAACTTAGACCTACAGTATTACCTGGGTTAGGACCACAAACTTATAACACAATGAACATTTAAATCTTTCCCATCTTATTAAGGTGACACTAATTTTTTCTTTATTACTAATTTTCTCTTTCTGCAGAAATGGGGCTTATACAAAGGTAATACAGATCTATGGATCACAGAACTAAAGCTCATCTTCTCTGCTAGTAACAGCATCTCTTTGATAAAAAGAAGGGTCATACTTTAGATCATTGTGGGGTAATATTTACAACAAATCTGTAAAAGCTGTCTAAAACAAAATATTTTAATACTTCCAACCTGTTTCAGTTTCTTTGACATTGCAAATCAGGTCAAATACTATATGATCTTAAACACAAATTAACTCAGACATGACAAGATTAGATAAATGACAGAGTTGACAGGGTGTCTCCTGAATACCCTGTTAACATACAGTACAGAATGTTCTTCATGCTGCAAGAAATGCTTCCCTCATTGCCAATCAATGAATACAAGTTAACTATAGCCTGTGATACCAGACAAACAATTTGTCCACAGTTTGTAAGAAATACAATCTATTCTGAGATGCATTTTGTTTAAGCTGAAACATGAGCGAAGCATTAAAATAAATAGTAATTATTCGATTATTATTAAAACGATAATAATATAATAATTATATTGTTATTACAGTGTAATTACATCCATTGCCATACAGTTTATGGTAATTGGGGTAGTTTCAGTCTGCTGTATATTTTCTTTTTTTAATGATTATGATTGTGAATTAAATTAGACTAAACATTGTAGACGTGGATGTGATTAAGCCATGTGAGAAAAATATTTTTATTGCACATGTTTAGCAGAATTGCTCTTGCTTTTTGGATTGATACAGGAAGGGAAAGATTCAGACATTTTTTTCTTATACACCATGGGTCAACAACTTCAAACTTTCCCTTTATGAATATCACTTGTCAGATTATTTTGGGTAGCGGTTTGTTTCCTTTCATTTACAGTGTTCTGTCACAGAATTGTTTAAATTTAAAAAGAAAGATGAATAGGGTCATTTTTGAACATTTTATAAAAAAACTATGTATAGTAAAGAGCTTGTATTTTTTTAAAAACATTTTAGATAGGACAACCATAAGCATATCAGGAACTCACAGGGGCATGGAGTGGGCAAATAGCAGTGTGTGTTTCAGAGGTTGAATGAGGGGTCAGCCATGTGTATAATTTTACTGGCCCCTTATTAACCTCTTGTATCCCCTCAGTGCAGACTATTCACTTACATGCATTTGATCCACAACCTAGCTGTTACATTTTTTGTAGGCTTAATAAAATCCACATAATAATACCTGTAAGAATCCCAATCAGTGCATTAGTAGTATATGCAGATGTCTAAGAAAGGAAATATAAAAGCTTAAATTCGACAACTGTGTAAACTGTAGCATTTGGTAGTTTTTACTTTTTATTCTTTTAACACTTGATCCTAAACTCTACCATTGGAAGTGAACATTCACAAGGTTTTCTGTATCCTACAAAGAGATTATTTACCTCCAAAAACAAGGAAAGGTCACCTACTGCGACTGGTGAGCACTCATGGAATAGATTTTCTGCTTAAACGCTCTGTGTCTTTTATTGAGTTCCCATCCACTTCAAGGTCTGTGTTTCCGCCACCTCTCTGCATTTCATAAGATATGTAAAACCGAACATGGGTCAGAGCGACTCCAGGTGGGTTTTTGCCATAAATCGCTGAGGTAGCCGTGAGGAATTCAAGCAAAGGCGACAAAACGGAAAATGAAAGCGTAGCACCATCGTCAGCGAGAGCTAAGGCAGGAGAATCCCACATGACCCCTTTCACTTTTCGTCCCTGATGTCAGGTCCCTCTGAAGCTGGTCACCCAAACCAATCCTTGGTCCGGGACAGGGAGAGTTGGGGGCGATAAGGTGGTAATTTGGCGCACTGTTTCCAGGAAGGTATTTCTGCTCCTCTGTGTCAGTCATTGCTGTGTTTCCTCCCTCCTGTCTCCGCCGCTACAAGTTCTTCATGCAGACCTGACAGCGGCTGACGCGAGTCCGCAGCTGCCCGGCCTTCAGAGTTTCTGAAAGGGGTGCCTGCACGAACTGCAGGCCCGGCTCCACGGTGCTCAGCCAGAAGCTGTACTTGTTGGCGAAGTAGTGGCAGGTGCCGCGGGCGCCGTTGCACTCGATGAAGGGCGTGGCGCGGAAATCTTCCAGACAGGAACCCGGGGAGACTAGGGATTGACCGCCGCCCTCAGCGCCAGCGGCTGTGTGCTGTTAGACCAAAACCAAATTGTTTTAGAACAAAAAGAGATTTATTGCCAAGTATCCCAACCAGAGTCTAAAACTACATTAGTGTGGACTGACAGGAACATAAGATAAATGATAAACCATATTAAAAACACATCAGTTATGATAAAAATCACTTAAGTCCCTCATTCCAACAGATACCTGCTCGAAAATCTATTCTATTATAAATGCCTACTGAATACATCCTTCTGGATGCTGGAAGTCTTTTATTGCCTTTCAGGATTCTTAACATTTGTAGAACGTAATCACCTCTGCTGCAGACTGATGAGATTCAGTTCCTTTATCTTCTATAGTCACGCTGTCTTTGAGATTAGAAATTTATCTTCGTTATTTCTGAATTGCTAGATTTATTCTAACTACAGTCCAGCTTTCTACAAAAATTTATTTTGCTCCTGGGATACGCTTATAGTTGAGTGTTGAGTACAGCTGAGCCAAGACAGTTCTTCAGCGTCTGGAGGAATGTGTTCCAGGATGCTGTGTCAAACATCCCTGTTGCACTTACCATGAGGAAGGAGTAGCCTATCCACAGGCTGCGCCAGCCCTGGGGGCACTGGGGGATGGTGATGTCCTGGCTGTGCACAGCTATGGCCTGGGATGGGGCCTCGCACACCGAGCAGCGGCTGATGTACTGAGGGATCTGGTTGTCCGACACGGGCATCATGGGAATGGGGGCGGTGGTGGAGAGCCAGTAGGATTTGTCATTGCGGCTGGCAAAGTAGCAGAGCTCGTTGGCGTTGCAGTAGAGGAAGGGCATGGTGCTGAATCGGGGCAAGCAGGAGCCAGCTAGTCCTGGGAAGGGAGGGAGATCCAGCAGTGAAAGGTCAGGCTAAGGCGGGAAACATCTGGAAGCTTACTTCTCAATTAAAAACTACAATTCAGTAAATGCACAAATTGGACAAAAATGTGATATCCAGGAGAAAAATGAGTTTGAATTACTCTAAAAACACCCCCACCAAAGCAAATGCAGAATTCCCAGTGTGTAAGACAAAACAGCTCATTTCTGAGCACAGTGATGAGAGTACTAGCATTCATTAACCACATGGCTGTCACGATTGTAGTCCCTCCTCCTTAAGGGCACTCCGTCTGTTTTCACTCTGGACTTATTCTGTGCACCTGCCTCTTGTTCCAGCCTCCTTCCTGTTCCCCTTAAAAGCCAGACACTCAGTCAGTTCGGTCCCGACGCGGCACCTGTTTTTAATCCCTGGTTTTTGGATGGATGACACGGCCATGGACCTTTGCTTTCATTTTGGATTCCCCCTTCGGATTTCTATTGGATTGTCAGCCTCGGCCACACCTCCCCGGATCACCAGCACTGCATGGACACGCCCCCCTGTTTTCATCCCTGTATTCCTGCATGACTCTTTCCCCAGTGTTTCCTCACTATTTCTGATTGTGTCGTCCGCATAGGATCAGGAAAGAACAGTTCCGTTAGAATGGCCTTCACTGAAGAGGAGTTAATTAAACCAATCAAATTTTTCTGTTGTTGAAGGCAAGACAATTTGACATTGAATGGGCCCCACTATTGCTCACTTTTGTGAATGAAAGTTAACCACTTTCTTTGGACCCCTCCAGAAGTTATCCAATATGCAGTCAGACCTTTATCCGTCTGCACTGGAGCACATGAATATCCTCACTCTTTACAATTCAAGGATCTGAGGGAATTTCACTTGTTGCCCAATTGAAGTACTGTATCTCAGGTCCAGCTCAGTCCCTAGTGCCTCCAGGATTGCCATGGGACACTCCTATATCTGCTAATCCAATTGTTGATCTAAGTGTCTGTGACTAACATTACAAGCTTAATCTTTAAACATTTTATCTCTTTAAAATTCTCCCCCTTCAAGTCACCATTTTGTGGGACTGACAATCAGAAAAGTCAGAGGCAGTCCCGACTGCAACAATACTTTGTCTTCTGCAAAAAATGTAGTGCATCAGCTAATCCGTTATAAAATAGGGAATATAATACACACAGCACTATATGGATAGTTTCAGAAGAGAAGAGCTCTTGATCATTTCAGACACCCTCATGGTGTGACTGGCACATAACTTATTGGTGTGCTCTCCAATGAAATGGGTCTGCTTGCCTTGTGACGATGCCAGTTATTAATTATGATGTGTTTTGCTGGAGGCTCTTACTGCTGCCAGTGTATCTATTTTGTGAGGCTGGGTGGAGCCTAGGGGGTTAACTTCTCTCTGGAAGAAAGCACTGCTAAGTTATATCGTAGGTAGACAGATGGTAAAAGCCTGGTTTAATTTTCTATTTCCATAGTACTTTTTAATTTCTACTTTTTCTGTCATCTTTTCCTCACTTCTGTGGCTTAAACTCGAATCTTCCCATGCCTAGGCTCTTACCTAGGTCCTGGTTGTGAGCCTTTTCTTGTCCTTCCACGTAGAGCAGGCTATAACCGTCCCACAACTTTACCATCCCCTGTGGACAGAGCGGCACCTGGTCGGACTGGCTGTGCTTCACCAGGGTGTACCCAATGCTGGGGCTGCGCGATGAGGTGCCTGGCAGCCCGGGAGGACCCTGCTTCCCTGGGAGTCCTGTTGCCATGTCAGCATGAGAAAAGGCAGGGTCACAACACGAACAGTAAACATCACATTGGCCTCAAAAGATGCCTGACTCTTAAGCCCACCTCTGTTGAGGCACAGTAACATCTAAGAATGAAATGTGTTGAACATGTTTATTGAGAGTTTATTCTTAGTGAGATTTCATTTAACCTGCTTGGCTGAGGGCCAGCCCCCTAACTGTAGGACTCCCCTGCAGAGTGAGGAGTGACCAAGAAGTAGACAGACAGGCGGTGGAGGGATGTAAAGACAAATGTGAAGGGGAAAAGTCTCACATATGGTTTTACTAGTTTGTTTGGGGGAAAAAAAAGATAAAAATGAATTATTGCTGACATGAAAGTGTAGTTGTCTACTGTCATCCCTCCTGAACATTTACTGTAAATATTTTAAATGAGAAATCTAGCATCCTGAATTCAGATTTCAAATTCTTGGTTCTCATGTTAATAATAATTTCACTGAACTTATTATCTTGTCAAAATGACTGAGCTAAATACTTGTAGCATTGTCTAGTTGTTCCCTGGAATAAACTGTAAACTATCAATGACCTGTAGAGAACCGTAGATCTACAGCACAAGTGCCCGAGATCAATGCAAAGTGCTATGGCCCGCTGTGGAAAACCATGTGAAAGAGCTGAATTGACATCTATGACAGGTTCCCTTACCCAGCTGTCCAGGGGCTCCAGGAATGCCAAGAGGGCCAGGATCTCCCACTACTCCTGGAAATCCAGGCTGCCCACTCTTTCCTGGTTTACCAGGGGAGCCAAGAAAACCTTTCAAACCTGGAAAATAAAACCATAAATGATGAATGTTGGGTTTATTGTGGGTAATACTCCTATTAACACATCAGAAGTGGCAGACTAAACTGCAAGGCTTATAGATAATGAGGCAAAATTTTACTTTAATTCCAAATAATGACATTGTCTGAAAATCTAGTTTCTGTACATTCTCTGTCACTTGCTCAACACCTTGTATGAACAAAGAGAAATTTTCTGTTCTGGAAAAAGTTCTGGAAGGACAGCAGTATTGAAAACATTTGACATTTTTGCTATAAAAAGCCCAGCATGTAGTTCTGTTATGGACTTTAGTCCTTAGCTGTCTCTGTCTTATGCAGAGACGAAAACACACAATAAATGTAATGTCTGTATTGAAGGTTCCAGAAAAACACTGAAATATGACTTCTAGCATCTTAACAACTTCTGGTTCAATTGATCACATTACTCCTGTCTCAGCTTCCCCGCATTGGTTATCTGTTTTCCCAGACTGGCCTGTCCTGTACAGATGCCGCTCCCTATACTCTGTCAAACTGACATCCTGGCAGTGCAGCAGCACTGTACACCCTACAGTCTACAGAGGTTGCTGAGAACAAGAGCCGTTTTTTTCAGCAATTGATTAGTACTGGCTGCTGGGATGAACTGTAAACAACTGCTTGCGTGGACAGAACTACCCTCACCTTGACTGCCTGGTATGCCTGGCTGCCCTTGAGGTCCTAATTCCCCACTTATCCCTTGCTGCCCCGGGAATCCAGGAGATCCATTGGGAATCCTTATATCAGGTGGAGGAGTTGACAATCCAGGAATCCCTCGAGGGCCTGGGGAACCTAGCACACAGAAGATACAAGAGCTCACTTCAACCTGTCAGGACCAAGAGAGCTATGGTATAAGGCATCCAGCCCATCACAAACAGCCCAGAGCAAACAGATCAAATCCTTAAACATTAAAATGAAGCAGTGTTTTCTATGACTGCTGCTGAAGAGAAACCCAATACCATTACTCTAAGTATTCTTTCATTCTATGGCAGAGATACAGAGATACAGCCTCTGTAGAAGGGGCTGATCTGGCTGCTTGATGTAACTGGGAACTGATGGAAGCCATTAAAAATACCAACTGTCCAAGCCTGCTGTGGTTTGGATGTGTTTCATTGTTAAGTCATATTAAATATTCTTTAGGTTTTGCAATTGAGCTGTTGCCTTATTCCACGTATGTTAGGCTATTGATTTCTAAATATGAAGTGTAAAAGTTAGATAGTATTGCAGTGGTTTACAACCCTGTTTCTGGAAAACCTTTTTAGTCATCTAGTTTTGCTCCAGCCAAGATCTTAAGGGCATCATAAACTGATCTGCATGCTGAGGTTTTTCAAGAAGTGCGCTTGATGGCCGGTACTCTTGAAACCAAAGACCATTCCAGAAACAGGTAAGCAAAATTTTGTAAACAAGTTAGCAGATCAATTAAATGCATTCTTTAGCACTAAGGATTAACAACTCAGTTGGAATAAAACCATCAGACACAGAAGTCTTCCAGGACCAGGGTTGAGACCCATTGGGGTGGAGTGTTAAAAAATTCTGACGTTCACCTACTGAAAATCAATAGGTTATAATAATATTAACTTGAGCAAATACGGGGATGTAGTTATAGAAGTGGATGCAGTCTGAACAGGTGGAACCTTGGCTGAAATATTTTGTGGAAAGTTACATAATTTATAATAGAAATATTGGAAAATTAACTTAGTAACTTACTACTAGATAGACTGTACACTTCCGGCAAGCGATTTAAAAAAAATCAATTTACAGAAAATCTACTGCCTTAAAAGATATTCAAAAACAAATATTTTTCTTTTTTTACAAGCTTTTCTTAGACCCTTCATCCAGTGGGACCCTGTAACAGCAGCTCTTGTTTTACTGGATTTGTGTTTTGAATCAGTAGCGAAAATCTCCTGTGGGGAGGACAGCTACTGTTGCCCTGCTCACCTCTCACTCCCTTCAGTCCTTTCAACCCAAAGGAGCCAGGGTCCCCAGGGAACCCTTTCTGTCCCTGGGTTCCAGCGATGCCTGGGTCCCCTCGCTGACCTGAAGAAGACACAGCAAGGTCTTAACCAGAAGCCCGAACTAGTAACCTCCACAAAATCAAAAGAGTGCCAGAGCTGTAGAGTACCACACATGGCCTTGAGGACTGACTCTCCGAGAAAGAGTTTGAAATTCAAACACCACATCTGGGACAATGTCTGACAGCGTCTGGGTTGCCAGGCAGCTTATTTCTGCTTTGCCTGCCATTGACGTGACAATGTGAGGATACGCATGATTCTTGGACAGTGCACGTTCCCAACAAACCTCATCACATCAAAAAGGTCAGTCATAAAGGCCACTTACACTCTTAGTTAAAACTTATAGATGTGGCCATATCAAGGGCAATACTATAGCATGGGCAATACCTCAGACAGTGCAATATTTCCCAGCAGTAAAAAGTGCTCTCAGCTTTAAAGTGGCTAATTTGTCCCACCCACTTTCCTGTAGACCAAAGCCCATATTCACCCTCACACCATGTGCTGAACATAGGTGAGACTGCCACAGCCAGTATTTCCACACACTCCTGCTACATTATTTTAAAAAGTGTGTTTAAAGTAGTAATCCCATTTTCAGAATATATTACATTTTTATTCTGGTACTTAGTATACAGATCAAATCTAAGCGTCATTAGAAAGAAAGCTCATCTATTCTCCAATCTATAAGCAGATACAACGGGTCGTGGTGTAGTGAGAATTCTGCCCTCAAGCTTACATGCCCCCTCACCTTTGAATCCGGGGGCTCCAGGGATTCCTGGAGAGCCGGAGAAGCCGAGACTGCCAGGTTGTCCAGGTAGGCCAGGTGGCCCCGGGAAGCCCTGGTCACCTCTGTCTCCTTGTGCGGTGCCCGGGCCAGCAGGACCTGGGGGTCCAGGGGGGCCGAGGAAGCCTGCCCAAACACACACAGTTACACAGTCATACTGCTCAGCGCACGGTGACAGCCACAATTACCTACTCAGGGCACAATGACAGCTACAATTAAAGCTCAGCATGTGTGAGCCTGGTCAGTAGCTGGATGGGAGAACTAAGGTTGCTGCTGGAAGAGGAAATTAGAGGGGCCAGTAGGGGGCGCTCACACTGTGGTTTATATGGGTCCTAATGTCCCAGCATAGTGACGGGGACACTGAGCAAGTGGTACAGTTCAAATCTTTGATGAACACATCAGTTTAATCCATGTTGTGTGACTATTTATCTGCAGCTCCTACAGAAAGTGCAGAAGACATGTCTTTACACAAAGGGGTGTGGGAGTATGGAACAAGCTACTCAGCCACATAGTTAAAGCTGATACTCTGGCTCTGAGAAACAGCTGAGTGAGATCCTTGGATTAAAAAGCAAACCCGCTAGATTGGCTGAATGATTGGTAACCATTGTGTTTTCTGTAGCACATGGTATGGTACCTTGCTCCCCATCCAATCCGGGCAGTCCTCGGTCTCCTGGCTGACCGGGGAAGTTGGAGGGGATAGAGCCCCCGCGAGAACCGGCAGCACCGGGGATGCCCACCACACCGGGGGCACCTACCAACCAGGAAAGAAACGCCCTGTTATCACGGCCAAGGCTCTCACACAGCAGTTTACACATTTGTGTGTTAGTGAAAATTCCCCACATTTACATTCGGGTGAAAATTATGTTTTCTTTGCTACACCTATGGTATCTCTTACTCCAGGTTGCTCTTTTAATACTTAAAAATACTGCTCAGTGTTTCATAGCAGGACACATCAACTTCATCTTCACTTCTTCAAGGTATTTGAAAACTGATGACCTACAGCTAATTCTTGCAAGGCGTGGTTGCTATAAACATGTTGTACTGTAAGCGGAAAACACACTTACTAAATAGACGGCTTCGTTTGGCAACTTAGAGCCACAGACAGTAATTTCTCAAGAGCTGGACGTGTCATTAACAGATAAATATCATAGCTTCACCTTTCTTCTTTTCTATTGTATCATGAATCTAAATAAACAGTTATGCATACGAAATGTCTGAAACAGCCTGGAAATAAATTCTTGTTTTTTATACTAACATATTTGAATCCGGTCCTTCGTCTCATGCAGACAGCGGTCATGGCTTCTGGTTTCTGTAAACAGCCCTCAGCCTGTCCTCTTACCTTGCTCGCCCCTTTCTCCTTTCTTCCCAGGTATACCCGGTGTGCCAGAAAAGGAAAACCCCCTCTCTCCTTTGGGGCCTGAAGGTCCTGCAGGGCCAGGGATCCCCAGCTCGCTCAGTCCTGGAAGGGGGAATAGGAGAAATTCATTTTAACACAGGTCGTGCCAGCCACAGGTGCTCCTGCATAGGCTTCCTGTGAAATCATCACTGTTGACCAATGAGGTGCATCTCCTCCCAAGGTCAACTGTCCTGAGGAATTGATCTGTCCTCTAATCATCTGACCACTGAAATTAAAGCGTGATTTTACAATTAAGACAACCATTCCTACATACCATTTGATTTCAATCCTTATTGCCAAGGCTGTAAATATGTGTATACAGTGTAAATACCACAGAGTTCACTGCTTTTGCAGTTACCTTCCTCACAGGAGTCTAGGGTCCGTAGTCATGGTTTGTTCTTTTGCAGGTAGACCATAATGTACACTGAGAGATAATAAATAAAAGATTCAAGCACTGCAGCCGTAGTGCTGTCATGCTGTACAGTATGTGTTAGTGAGCACTAGTGAGTACCGGTGACATGCTATTCATCCCTGTCTTTGATTCAATGGTGACTGCAGGGAATCACTGCCACAGAATCCCAGGGAAAGCACACATGTGTGCAGAAAAACAAACGAATGAGAGCATAAGGGCAACTGGTTTTCAGTCATCAGCCTTTCAACTGAAGTAAAAAAATGACCAATTTTAGTTCAAATGATTATAAACTGAAAGAAGACAAATATGAAGATATTTCTGGCACCAGTCATTTTGTCTTATGAGGGAAATCTTTGTAGTCTAGTCTAGTGCCAATAGATTCATCTTTCTTCAGTACTGATCCTTCATTTTTGTCCATATACTTCTTTTTGAAAAGCTCTTAAATAATAAAATCAGAATGTACAGTAGTTGCCATTAAACATTCGCTTTTCCCATGATACTCCCTAACACAATACAGTAGGGAGTACAACAGAAATGAATGTATTTGAGGTGACTCAGCTGTAATGAATGAGTACTTTCACCTGAAGAACATTTGATTTTATTGTGTGTGTTTAAAAGTAAAATTAAATTAAATTTGAATTCGCCTCTGTTTCATTTTTTACTAATTTAGCTAAAATACACATTTCTTACAAGAGAATACAACATAAGCATTTGCTGCTCAAGAGTTTTAAAGTCCAGTGACTGTCCTCTTCCTATGTATCTGTAATTCTGTCATAGGGTGTAGGTTTAATAACCTCCGAAGGTACTGAAATATTATTTTCAGGAAGTGAGGTGAACACCTATCCTTTAAAGAAAGAGGTTAGATCAGTGTTAACTGCACTTTGGAATTGTTTTTCTAGTACAAGCTTCAATTTAGGCCCTGAACTAGACCTCTACTTTCTATAATTTACATTATTACAAAATAATGATGATAATGTGTACATTATAAAGAAAAGCTGCCCAGTGATGTTGTTGAAGATGACACTTTGGCTTTCTTCAAGAGATGACTGGATAAGGTGCTCTAATCAATTAGCTACTAATTAGCACCTCTCATTTGAAACCTGTTACAGTATATGCTTAGGTTCTTCTGACACACAACATCTTATGAAACACTTCCATCTCAAACAGTGATTTATTTAGTGCCACTGTGTGTCACAATCGCAAACCCCTCCTCTTAAGGGCGCTCCAGTCTTTCCTCGTTTGCCTCATTCCCCGCACCTGTTCCTTGTTCCTACCCCGTTTCAGTTCACCCTTAAAAGCCAGACGCTCACTTCACTCGAGGCTCTACATTGGTTTCCATATCATGTGAGCTCGGGACCTGGTTGTGCCTGGCTCTGTTATGTTTTTAAGTTCCTGTTCCTGTTCCTGTTCCTGTTCCTGTTCCTGTTCCTGTTCCTGTTCCTGTTCCTGTTCCTGTGGATGGATCACCTGGCCATGGACTTTTGCCTGTATTTTGGATTTTCCTATGGATTCATTCTTGGACTGTTTGCCTCAGCCACACCTTCCTAGTACACCGGCGCACCAAGGACATGCCCCCTGTCTTCATTCCCATCTCCTGCATGACTTTTTCCCCAGTGTTTCCTCACTACTTCGGATTGTGTCGTCCGCATAGGGTCCGAAAAAAGAACTGTACGTGACGCTGTGTATGTGTGTCCTTTTTTTCTTCATTAACAGTTAAAAGGTGGGTTGCAGCACTTCCTGCACGATTGTTAAAAAGGTTGCTGTGGTGCTGACTTTGGTTTTAAAAAGCCGCAGAACCCCACCGGGGACTGTCTAGATAGATTACTGGAGTAGTAGAGAGAGAACACTGGAACATCAGACAGACTGCAGGTGAGAGGAACCCCCAGGTGTAAGTGAGTGGGCTGACCTGGAGTTCCAGGGGGTCCCTTGGGGCCCGGCAAACCGTTGAGCCCATCCAGGCCCGGAGCTCCAGGCAAACCTGCAGAGGACAGACAAGGAAAAAGCACATTGTGGCAAATTAGAAACACACATGCCCATCATTTCAGATTCGGTAAACAGTCATGTGAATTTTAATCTCAGGTTACCTAGAGGATAAAGCACCATGTCATAAAAAACAACTTGGTTTCTAAGTCATCTGTCACACCTTGTGATGTTGTTGTTGTTTTCTGCTGGGCAATTATACATTACCCCTCGCAGAGTGAAGCAATTGATAATTACTTTTCATTAATAAAATACTGAAGTTTTTAATCTGTTCTTTTTATGTTTTCTGTTTTTCCTTAGGAAGGGATTTCACTGCTCTCCAAGTTTGCTATTTAGTTACCACTAGTCTTGAAAATCCCACTGCTCATAAACGTCCTTATGTATTTCATATGCAGTCTGTATTTCAAAACAATGATTAGGTGCTTCTAATCTAATTCACAGTGGAAAAACAGAACTATGATTCTTGTAAAGCATAAAAAGGCATGCTACGGACCGACACCTCTGCAATCACCAACTGCCCACCACGATAAGACAGATTTTCTATAGAAACTGCATGCAGAATACAAAATGATTGGCATGAGCCACACAAGTTATACAACTTCTGGCATTCTTAATGAATGCCACACCAGTCCACAATGAAAGAGCTGTATCAGAAATATCTCCTTCTTATACAAAAAAGATGGGATTCATCTGGGATTACACAATAACGGCCTTAGATCCTGTGCTCAACAGACAAACTTGAAATCCTATAAAGAATGAATAATTTTATTTTTGACAAACCACTATCATTTTACAAAACAGGTTAATAGTTCTTGGTCAACAATCTCACCTTTCTGTCCAGATCTCCCTGGTGATCCAGGGGTACCAGGGGAACCCTCAGGCCCCCTCCGACCGGGCAGCCCAGGCAGACCATTGGTGCCCAGGAATCCTGGGGTACCTATAAACAGAGAGAGCCAGTTGCTACATCACAAAGAAAAAAATACACCACATAATATTATCTTACAGTCAAACAGACTAGGCCAACACTGCCATTTATACAAGGCTACAACACCATTGACACCATCAAAATCTGGAGTGATTCAAAGCTTCCTGGAATTGTACAGCAAACTCCTTAAAACATGAGTCTGATCCTGTGCATGGTCTGATTTTTATTTGGCACCTACCTGGCAGGCCCTGCCTTCCTCGCTCTCCAGGGATGCCCTTCTGACCATTGAACCCAGAGTTTCCAGGGAAACCAGGTCCACCTGATGGGCCATCAGTGCCTCTCCCCCCTGTAAATCATGAAAATAATTGATTGGAACCAAAATTGAAAACCTATATTATAGCTAATTTTTATTATAGGAACATATCAAGAGGGCCACCTGGGCAAACTTGCTGATTGTCACTAGATTACAGATTTAATACGTAGCTCATTGAAGAAAATAAATTTCATCTTCCTTGGAGAACTGGAAAGGACTAACCTTCAACAACAAGGCCTGGGGAGTTGTTACATTCATAACTCTTTGTGTTAAGAATACCAAACTATTTAATATCCCAAACAATCCTGTTGTAGCCTGATCTATTCAGATCTCAGAAGCTAAGATAGGTGGGGCCTGGCCAGTATTGGGATAATAGACCTTAAGGAAAAAAAAAAGAAAATCAGGTCACTACTCTATAGGGAGTTGGTCGAAATTTAGGTGCCACTTTTCAATCTAGAATGGAATTTCCAAAGCAGTATCCCATTATGGTGACCAGGAACACCGTACTATATGAAGTAACATCTTTGTGCAGAGACATTAAATTGAGGTCCTGAATACTTGCTCTTTAAAGTTCACATGGTACTGTTGGCTTAAGTGTAGAGTTATTAGCCTCAGGAAATTTAGGCCTCCCCACATCCTTCCATGATTTAGTAGGTGAAGCAGTAGGTGCTGGTGCAGAATAACGACCGTGTGTCTTCCATGAAATTTGTTCCCTCATTTATGTAAAGTGTTCTGGGAAGAAACCCCCTGTATAAATGCAAGCAACCCTTCCAACAGACAAACTTTTGGACAGTTAAGGAGCAAATCAGTTCCCAGAATTCAACACTGCATAGACAATGTCTTTGGTTCTGGTGTCATATGACACTGCACAAAACTCACCAGGTATTCCAGGGTCTCCTGGCTGACCTTTATTTCCTGGGATTCCAGGAGTGCTCACTGAGACTCCACGATCACCTGGGAAAGCAAGAATCTTGAGCAATCCACTAAAATGTCGTACTTTGGAAGCTTTTTCATTTGTATTCTTTAATAACACACAGTTATTACAATGCCTTTACAATGCCATCTCACTTTATAGCTAAATTCAACTTCTGTTCAACACTTGGTTGTTTACAGATTATTTTCATATATGGAGTATATACTGTATGTGTAATGGAGTATTTATTTGAATTTGGAGTATTTCTGTAAAAGGAATATTTTTGTACAGGCAGAATTTTTCCTTTGATGGCAGCAAAGTTATAAATGGTACAAATTCAATCAAATATGTATTGCTCTGACTGAACAGCTCACTGAAATGTTAGCAGGCAAAAGCAGAGGTCAGGGCAAGTGTTCCGTGCTTCACTTACACTGCCATAACTGGTTTTTAAAATGTATTCTTTAAAATGTTTTCTTTCCCTTTGAAATTAAAGCATTAATGTCAATTCTTTATTACTGTGTGTAGCAAATGTTAAATACTGATTAACTCTTCCGGGTCTTGCTAAATGAACAGTTAATCAGTGTTACAGATTTGACTGGGAGAGTAATTTCAAAGTGTTATACTGTATGTACAGTTTATTACTAATTGACAGATTATTGTGACGTTAATATATATACACATAATAAAAACCAGAAATCTTTAAAATGTTATCCAGCCATAAATATTCTTAATAGCAGCAGAAACAGAAGTCAGTCACCTTAACAAAATAAACATGCTATTCTCAGAATTATTTTGCTGTTAACCTCTTTGCCTGTTCTGAATAGGTTTATTAAAAAATAATGAACATCATTTCTTTGCCTGTTCTGAATAGGTTTATTAAAAAATAATAAACATAATTTCTTTGCCTATTCTGAATAGGTTAATTAAAAAATAATGAACACCATTTGAAACAATCTGAATTCTTTAACAAAGGAGTGATGACTCCTTTGAGAGCATTTTGTGAGCAAAAGAACATTTTATTTGGTGTTGCTATTTTATGACTGGGAAACTGTGAGAAGCTTGATACAATTACAAATTAAAACCAGTGGCAGTACAGAATGTGGCTGCCATCAGCCAATGTCCCAAAACAAAAAAAAAATGGAAGTGAATCATCTCTGCTTTGAGTGAAGACGATTGCATTCACCATAGCAAAGTGGGTTTAGTTTATTTAATTTTAATTTTGTGAGTTTTGCCTTTTTAAAATTTACAAGCTTAAGGGTCTAGAATGTCAATGGTCCTTCCTGGTTAGATGACATGGTTGCTATGTTGCTGGGCCGACCAGGTAGTGGTAGATAACAAAGTGGGCTGGCAGTAGAAATGGGTTATTAGATTCCTATGGGGGGAGAAATTGGCAATCCTGTTCAGGTGCAAGAGTACAGTAGGAAGAAAATGGCAAAGGAGCTTTTGGCAAGTGTTCATAAAAGCAGCTTCTGTGACCAGAATCATTGTAAAAAGAGCAGCTGTAACCAGCCAGAGAAATGGTGATGACCGAAGAGGCAACTCTATTAAACCTTACCTTTCAGGCCTCGACCCCCAGGAACTCCAGGGAATCCATTAATACCGGATGGACCATCGACACCCTGCGAACCATGACAACAAAGACTGAGGGGCACTGGAAGAACATCACGTTCATTTCGGCAGGGAGAGCTGGGTTAGCATCAGGAAAATTGCAACAAACAGGCTTGTGTTTGTTTTTGTTTGTGCTAAAAAACATAAGCCTCCAGTTGACATCTTGCTGAAATATCTTAGTTAGAAAGGAAAGAACAGGTTAACCTTCTGATTAACCTTTTGAAAAGAAGGGACAATAGAAACAGTTTTGCAAGCATTTTTCATCTAAATACAGTATTTAATCTCTTCAGTAACCTTCAGACATTCAATTCTACAATTTTAAAGATTTATTACTGTCTGCACCCTGTTGAAGTTATAACATATCTATGATGGATTAATTTCCCATTTTCACAGTCCTGCCAGACTTACACTTCAAAGACGGTAAGGTCAGGGGGCAGGCGAGAATCATTATTAAAAGTGATGGTTGTTACTTTGCAGTAACAAAGTGAAAGAAACTCAGTGGAAGGTTTGACCGGGTGGAGATGATCTTGACTTTATGAAGTAAGATCACATACCCTGGGTCCAGGTACGCCTGGGAAACCAATAATCCCAGGAGAGCCTTTGGAACCGGGAAATCCTGGGGACCCTGGAGTGCCAGGTAGTCCAAGATCTCCTGGAGCTCCCTTCTCCGTGCCGGGGAAGCCAGGCAGGCCTGGCTGACCTGGGAGACCAGCTCTGCCTGGAAAACCTTTATCACCTGGAGTCAAACATACAGACAGGGCAGGGTTAGAAGAAGACAGAAGCTCCAGCTGTTCACGATGCTGGGAGTTGTGGTGCTGTGGCAGAGCTGAACATTTCAGAAACTGCCTGAAATGATCTATCTGCAGGGTAGCGATGTGAAGGCAGACTGGAAACACACTGTGGGGTAATCCCTGGAGCAGGTAAGTTAGGATTAAACATATAAAGCATAGACTGTAAGACATTTTGGTTTGGGAATACAGTGTTACTGAGCTCAGCCAGAGAGCAGAGATTGGAGTTACTGAGCTCAGCCTGGAAAGAGAGTGTGGGGTTACTGACCTCAGCCTGGGAGGAGAGTGTGGAGTTACTGAGCTCAGTCAAGGAGGAGAGTGTGGAGTTACTGAGCTCAGTCAGGGAGGAGACTGTGGAGTTACTGAGCTCAGCCAGGGAGGAGAGTGTGGAGTTACTGAGCTCAGC